TTGTTTTCAAACCTTAAAGTTATATCTACTGAACAAATGGGCAAGGTTTGAAAACACCTTCAGAATGAGAACTACGAGCCCCTTCCCACTTCAGTTGGCCCAACTATTGAAATCTTAGTTTTTTTCTTACTAAACACAAATAATAAAAATGTAGCAGGGTGTTATAGGTTTAATATATTAACAATGAATATTTTGCTAATATATAGTAGAAAACACCAACTTTATCACTCCCTAATCAAATTTGCAGCACAAAAATAACACATGTTGCAATTACAGCATATCAACCTATTTTCATTTCAATGCAAAGTAAGTCTATACTAAGTGACATATAAATCCGAACACCCAGTTTAAATGGTTTTATTTTAATAAAATTTTGTATAAGTACTTAATGAAGCATAATAAGTAAATGATAAAAATTTCAAAATGATTGCACTGCTTTAAAGCCCTTTGACCTTTAATAATGTGTGGATGCACCTTGATGTGCTACGCATACTCCAACGCGCCTAGGCATGCTTCTGATCAGGTGGTCAATGTCCTCCTGTGGTATCTCATTCCAGGCAACCACCAACTCCTCTCGAAGTGCTTCTAGAGTCTGAGGAGGACGTTGCAAATTGAGCAATCTACTACCCATCATATCCCACACGTGCTCAATTGGGGATAAGTCGGGAGATCTTGGTGGCCATGGTAACAATGTGGCATCATTATGTTGAAAGAAGTCTATTGTGACTCTTGCAACATGTGGTCGGGCATTATCTTGTTGGAAAGTTGGATCTGCCAGGGTGTCAAGGTAGGGTAAAAGATGGGGTTCTAGAACTTCGTGGATATAACGCTGCGCATTCATGTTACCTCTGATGAAGATTAAAGGTGACCTGGAACCATAAGCTATAGCACCCCAAACCATAACTCCAACAGTGTGATGAACATGTCTTTCAACAAAAAACTGTGGCTTCCTCCTTTCACCACGTCGCCTTACAACCCTGGCACGACCATCGTGCATGCCTAAACAAAATCGAGACTCGTCACTAAAGACAATACTGTTCCATTCCTGATCCCAGAGTGACCGTTGTCTGCACCACTCAAGGCGATTACGTCGGTGCTCTCGAGTTAAAGGGAGGACCCAGTGTGGCCGGTATGAAAACAAGCCAAAACTTCTCATTCGTCGGTAAACACTTCGCATGCCAATAGGTCTTCCGTGTTCTGCAAACCATTCATTTGCAATGGACCTGGTAGTGGAGAAACGGCCCCTTAAGGCCAATAATCTTAGGCGGCGATCTTCACCGTCTGTTGTTCGACGGCGGCGTCCAGTGCCCCTTGCTCTTTGCGTACGGCCTTCTTGAAGCCATGCCTGACAACACCTAACCACAGTGTCTACACTTCTTTGCACTCTAACTGCAATTGCCCGAAAAGAAAGTCCAGCTTCTCGAAGTCCCACTATACGGCCCCTATCTAACTCACTAAGTTGACGAAATCGTACAGGTCTCCGTACTCTAAGCATCGTAACCGATCGTAAAGGATGTCAAGAACCAAAATCCGAAAACGTTGATTCTTTACTGCGGCTGAAATATTCACTGAAATTTCACTTAGTATATAACGCATAGGTGGCTGTGAAAAATAAAATCCATGACAATTGTTTTTATTAATCACAGCTGTCAGAATACGTTTAAAATAGTTTTGGGTAGTTAAGGTTTTCAAAATGGGTAGAGGAAAGGTTATTAGTGAGAAAATTCGGTTACTGATAATTAAATTTTTTAATTCTGGGAAATCAAACTCAGAAATTGCAACTTTGTTAGACTTATCGCGCTACAGTGTGAGAAATATTGTTAGAAGATATAACGTAACAGGTTCAGTTAATATTAAGCCACGATATGTGAAAAAAAGTAATATCTCAAATGCCGACCGAAGAGCATTAAGAAGAATAATCGTGAAAAACAGGCGTGCCAATTATTTACAATTAAGTGCTCTGTGGACTGACGCTGTTGGAAGGAAAATTTCGAGGTCCACAACTCATAGAGAGGCCCACAAACTGGGATTTAGCACTTGCAAGGTAAGTTTTCTTATAAAAAAAACTGAAGTAAAAACCCTAAAGTTGCACAACTTGTTTATAGGCCAAAGAAAAGCCACTATTAACTCCACTGCAAAAGAAAAATCGGCTTAGATGGGCTAAAGAACATAGACAATGGACACCTCAACAATGGTGTGCAATAAAATGGAGTGATGAGACCCGATTCCAAGTTTGTGTTGGTGACAGTCGCAGTAGAGTTATTCGCAAAAAAATGAAGCATTCCATGTTGACTGTCTGAAGAGAAAAGTGAAATTTCCAGCATCCATTATGGTCTGGGGCAGTATGTCATCAAAAGGAGTAGGAAAACTTCAATTTAGTGATGGAAATGTGGATACAAACAAATATTTTGCAATTTTAGAAGAATCGCTTTTACCAGTGATGGAAGAATGTTTGACATCCGGCCAAGATTTTGTGTTTCAGCAAGATGTTGCAGCGTGCCATACCTCAAAAAAGGGTATCAAATGGATGGAAGAAAATAATGTACCACTTTTGAAATGGGTTTCTAGCAGTCCAGATCTGTCACATATTGAAACTTTGTGGCACGAGATGAAAAAGGTTCTACTACAGCATCCTGCTCGTACAATCACCGAACTGAGACAAAAGCTTCAAGAAATATGGGATTGTTTTACACCATTTTTTTGCCAAAACTGGGTTAACACTATGCCCCAAAGAATTTCAACCGTAATAAAAAATAAAGGTGATGTTACCCAATGGTAATCTTTCAATTGTTGCTTTGTTAACTTCGCGCATTTATTCGCACATTGTTTATTTGTTCAGATGTTCTATTAGTTATTTTTGTAACTAACATTTTTTATTATGATTTATAGTAATTGAGTAATGGAGATATTGACCAAGTACATACTAAAAACTCATCCTGTATGTCTAATTTGTTGCAGTAGTTACGTCGCTGGATGGCTTGAGCATTTTTGAAGATTTTTTTATGTTAATCACAACAATTTTTTGCAATAACCTATTAACCGCTGTAACGAAGTGGAGATACTCATTACGAGCCCCTTCCCACTTCAGTTGGCCCACTTCAAGATTTGTACCAAAATATGCTTTTATAAACTAAACATGACGAAGCTATTTACTTCTAAAACAATTTATTTTCTCAAAAACATTTTAGATACACTCTAGTCATAAAAAATACATATTTGAAATCACCTATAACTAATAGAACATCTGAACAAATAAACAATGTGCGAATAACTGCGCGAAGTTAATAAAGCAACAATTGAAAGATTACCATTGGGTAACATCACCTTTATTTTTTATTACGGCTGAAATTCTTTTTGGCATAGTGTTAACCAAGTTTTGGCAAAAATTTGGTGTAAAACAATCCCATATTTCTTGAAGCTTTTTGTCTCAGTTCGGTGATTGTACGAGCAGGATGTTGTCGTAGAACCTTTTTCAGCTCGTGCCACAAAGCTTCAATAGGTGACAGATCTGGACTGCTATAAACACATTTCAAAAGTGGTACATTATTTTCTTCCATCCATTTTATAGCCTTTTTTGAGGTATGGCACGCTGCACCATCTTGCTGAAACACAAAATCTTGGCCGGATGTCAAACATTCTTCCATCACTGGTTAAGCGATTCTTCTAAAATTGCCAAATATTTGTTTGTATCCACATTTCCATCACTAAATTGAAGTTTTCCTACTCCTTTTGATGACATACTGCCCCAGACCATAATGGATGCTGGAAATTTCACTTTTCTCTTCAGACAGTCAACATGGAATGCTTCATTTTTTTGCGAATAACTCTACTGCGACTGTCACCAACACAAACTTCGAATCGGGCCTCATCACTTCATTGTATTGCACACCATTGTGGAGGTGTCCATTGTCTATGTTCTTTAGCCCATCTAAGCCGATTTTTCTTTTGCAGTGGAGTTAATAGTGGCTTTTGTTTGGCCTATAAACAAGTTGTGCAACTTTAGGGTTTTTACTTCAGTTTTTTTTTATAAGAAAACTTACCTTGCAAGTGCTAAATCCCAGTTTGTGGGCCTCTCTATGAGTTGTGGTCCTCGAAATTCTCCTTCCAACAGCGTCAGTCCACAGAGCACTTAATTGTAAATAATTGGCACGCCTGTTTTTCACGATTATTCTTCTTAATGCTCTTCGGTCGGCATTTGTGATATTACTTTTTTTCACATATCGTGGCTTAATATAAACTGAACCAGTTACGTTATATCTTCTAACAATATTTCTCACACTGTAGTGAGATAAGTCTAACAAAGTTGCAATTTCTAAGTTTGATTTCCCAGAATTAAAAAATTTAATTATCAGTAACCGAATTTTCTCACTAATAACCTTTCCTCTACCCATTTTGAAAACCTTAACTACCCAAAACTATTTTAAACGTATTCTGACAGTTGTGATTAATAAAAACAATTGTCATGGCTTTTATTTTTCACAGCCACCTATGCGTTATAGACTTATTTTGCAATGAAATGAAAATAGGTTGATATGCTGTAATTGCAACATGTGTTATTTTTATGCTGCAAATTTGATAAGGAGTGATAAAGTTGGTGTTTTCTACTATATATTATCAAAATATTCATTGTTAATATTTTAAACCTATAACACCCTGCTACATTTTTATTATTTGTGTTTGATAAGAAAGAAACTAAGATTTCAATAGTTGGACCAACTGAAGTGGGAATGGGCTCGTAGTTGGCAATTTTCAGGCAGAACACGTTAAGCAATGAAACATGGGCGTACTCAGGAGGGGCAAGTCTTATTATTCTTCTTTTTGTCTGGATGCGACGTTGCCGCTGTTATATATATTTCATACAATACATGATTATAGTAAAGTGAAATAAGATCCATACGAAGTACTAACAATGTTTCAGATCCATTTTAGGCACTGAAATACAGTATATGGTTGGCTATATTCAGGTAGAATAGATTAATAACTGGTTCAACACAATTTACCTTGTTGCATATGGCTCGAACAGCATGAAAAGTAGAGATATGCGTCACCATGCAGTCAAGCGATAAATTTGCATCTTGACGTGTAAACTTGTTGGCATCTGCGGTTTTTGCAAGTAGCGTGTCGACTATCTCGTCGAATTCCTAAAAAATACATAAGCTATTCGGCCTGTCTCTTTTCCTCAGTGGGCGCGCAGCTTTATAAAGGGGTCTACAACAAATCCCTCTTTCGCTCAACTGGATTTACGAGATTTGAGGTATAAGTCTGGTACAGAAACAGTAGAGACTAGTAAAATGCATCGTACGCCTTTGAACATGACGGGATCCGTGCTCACCCACTTTGCTGATTCAATCAGTTACATACGATGTATTATGGTACTCTCTTCCGTTTTGATACCAGCAGGCGTATTACGTAGGAAATCCATGACCTATAATGTCAACTCGCTATGAGCGCCACCTAAGGAGGACTTACCCAAGACCATGTTCCCTAAGATAGTGCAACTCGCATTTCGCCAGCATGCTTCGCTGGTTGCAAGATGCCGAAATAGCCTATATACTGAGAACTAAATTTGTCTGAAGGCTTGAGTTCAATGTGTACGAGAGGGAAGTGTGTATAGACACATATGTTAGAAAGAAATAGGAACACGGCAATCTACCGCGTTGCCAATATGTTTCACGAGTTCCTTATTATTATTAAGATGCATGTTGAAAATATGCGTTAGTTTACTCTCTACGCACAAATAATGGGCGCTCCAGTTTAGGTCTAAATGAAAGGTCAGGATCGCGACAAATTCTGCAAAATTGCATCATTGGTTCACTTGGCAACACCGGATTTCGTACATTCCAGGGTAAAGTTTCGACCTCCATGATCATAGGTGAGCGATTTTGGTCAGTACCCATCTACAGTATATTCAGATAAGAGATAGACCGGATGTAAACAAAACGCCGTCTCGACGTAACACAGGAGCCCTCATTGGTCAATTCGCAATTAAATGCCTATGCCGAGCGGCAGAGCAGTCGTATCAAGGCAGAGTCACATTCAGGTTCAGACGTGTTACGTATGTCGTGTGCATCATTGCAATTTGATATTTCTTTGGACGTTTTCGTTTGTTATCTTATTAAGTTGTTGAGTTTGTCGTTGTTATTGTTATACCTTGTTATTGATTGTTACTTTCGATAAAATGCGTGGATGTTTTATTGTCATTTTCATTTGTTAGAACTTTTTTAAGCCATGTTTTTATGTGTTTTCGATATTTCAATAATTTTTTAATATAATCTTAAAATATGTCGAATATTATAAACTTAAAAAAAGTTACTAAGTTTTATATTGTGTACCGTTCCTAATATTTCTAATCATTTTAATTCATACTTTAAGCTTTATAAAGTTATAATTTGTTAATATTAATATTTGCGCGTATTTCAGGTTCCTGATCATTCATTTTTTAAAGGTTTATAACTTAAATAAATAAATAATAAATAAATTAAATTGTGAAGCGCTGAGTAATCATACGACGTTCAATATTCTTTGTTTCAATATGACTAAATAATCCCAATTATAGCAATCTGATACTCATGTCTCAATGTTTTTTTGCTGAATGTGATGAAAACATTTGAAAAAGGTTCGCTTATTGAAATAAATCTACACCAGTTAGTACTTCAATTTCCAGGTAAAGGGAAAAGGCTCATTATCTGCCATATTGGCAGTGAGGATGGATTTGTTGTTGACGGTCTGTGGTGCTTTGAGTCTAAGAAAACTGGAGATTACCACGAGGAAATGAATGGCGAATCGTTTGAACAGTGGTTTTCAAAAATTTTACCGAACTTAGAGGAAAACGCAGTAATTGTGTTGGATAATGCGCCTTATCATTCTCGAAGAATGGAGAAGGTCCCAACAACGGCTTCAAGGAAAGTTGATGTTCAAAATTGGCTCCGCTCGAAAAATATCAACTTTGAAGAAGCAATGCTGAAAGTACAATTATTAAGAATTGTCAAGGATCACAAGGCGGAATATCAAAAATACGCCATTGACGAAATGGCAGCAAGTCAAAATAAAACTGTGCTCCATTTACCTCCATACCATTGCGAGCTCAATCCCATTGAGCTCATATGGGCAGAGGTTAAAAATTATATAGCTAAGCACAATACAACTTTTAAATTTTGTGACCTCAAAGGACTTTTCAAAGAAGCACTAGAATTAATAACAGCGCAAAAATGGGAAAACTGTATTAAGCACGTGAAAGACAAAGTTGAAAAGAGAATGTGGGAACTGGACAATATTTTAGAGGAACAAGTCGAGCCATTCATTATTGACGTTGGTGCTTCAGGCAGTAGCGATGATGAAAGCTCATCAAGCTCATCTTTCCAATAAAAGATGTCGTTCATCAAATTCGGTAAGTTATAAGTAATTATAAAGCTACTGTATTTTTTAATTAATTATTGACATTTCTGAACCCATTTTGGCAAAACCTATTCAAGAATCTACTTTCTGACAATGTTCAACCATGCACATTTTTTTACGTTTTGAACGTTTTAATTTGGTTACATACTTACCTAGAAATCAAAAAATATACTAATCAATATTCTAAAAGCAATTTTAAGAGATATACGATTATTTTTAATTTAGGCTAATTTAAACCCCATTTTGAGATTATATTCGACTGTATTTCACCAAACATCAGGCGGCATCCGAAGCTGGAAATCGAAGCGAAAATTTTGAAACCCTTATGTATATTTACATCATTATATATTTCTTACCCCACCCCCACATGATCCTATATCCATCACCAATCGTATACACATCGAATTGTGCTAATTTACTACAAAGTTACGCAAAGCAGCATCTACTATCTAAAATATGTACTGCGTGACTCTTAATACGTCCCTGCCGAATGTTACAGCGTTCGATGATCACGTGGTCTTGTTTATGTCCGGTTTATCTCTTATCTGAATATACTGTAGCGCTCATGTCATTATACTTCTAAATGATTTTCACCTGCGTTCACTCAGGGAGTGATAATTTGTATTGCGTAATAGTATATGTTACATTTTCCGATCGCAAAGTGTAAAAATAGGTCAAGATGTGTTGATTTTATTACCATCGGTGGAAATCAAAAATAATTCTACAATAAATTAAAACACTAAGTCGCCTCAAAATTGAAATAAATAATTCTAATCAAAATGAAAACAAAATATTAAATTAAATGTTCGAACAGACCTCCTTCTTGAGTTTGACATTAATCTAACGTATTGTAGAAGCCTGTGCAAACATTTTCTGGTGTAACATATTGGCAACGTGGCAGATTTCACCGCTTTCTGCGTCACCGTTGCTAGGCAATGTGGTGATGACCTTCGCTCTTCAGCCGGCTTCTATCTCTTTCTAACATGTGTTGATACACACTTCTCGTGCTTCTCCCTCGTGCACATTGAACTCAATCAGCCAGAAAAGTTTGGTTTTACCTGTAGAGTATACTTGTGAATAAGATGTGACGAAGAAAATATGGTCGATATATTAAGATCGCATTTGGATGCTTGTGTGAATTGGTCTGCATATCAATAGCATCAGTGATATTGAAAGGTAGAATTTGCTATGTAAGAAAATTATTACGCTGCTCATGAAGTATGTCTTTTAGCTGGAAAGGGTTCGATTGATGTTAGTTAATCCAAAACTACGCTGGAAGTTGAGAGCATCGTGGGACAGATAACGTCAGATATGTAGGTTTTGCGACCAGGAGGCTTGTAAAAATAAGAAATATCTGCTTGGGATGTATATTCTTAATCAAATGCGATTAGAAGTGTTGCTTATAAGAGTCAGCTAATGTCTAGTATTGCTTAGATCTCGAGTAATCGTATTTGAGACAAGAAAATCATCATCCTCACATATTATTAGTATACACTAATCAGCTTTGTGGACTGAAGTCACGAAGTCTAGGGATAGGACGTTCAACTGCGTAAGCGGTACATGTATTCGTTTGAAGCTACTCCTGTCGCCAAGGATGGTGTGGATCTCCGAAATCTAGTGGGCGTAGAACCTGACGCAGAACATCTGCGCATTGAAAATGCCAATATAACCTGCCGAAATCTTTATCTGCATTTCACTCACGTTTTCCCATTACTCATAGTTTATTAATATTATCCAACATTTCTCCTTGCAACTCGACCGAATTGTCAAAATTGGAGTTGTTTACAGTGATGATGACAGCATTAGAGAGATATGCCATATGTGCAGAACCTGAAGTTTATTTTGTGCGCCGTGTACACACGAGAGAGGCCCTATGCCCAGCACTTTCTATGCTACTACAAGTGAACATGAAGTGAATGATAACTAGGTCCAGGGTGACATCTTTTTGGAAAAACTTACATAACTTGATTAAGAATCAATACAACGTTCGTAACACTGGTGTTGGGTGTATAGTAAGTAAATACAGGGTTACAGGAAAAGTCGTGCTAGATCCGTTAAGTGCGTGTAGTACCCATCATTTCTGACTTATTTCATTATGAAACACCCTACCCTAAACTTAACCCTTTTCGAGATATTCAACTTTTAATGTTTTTATTGAAAATTGCCGATTTTTAGGCTACTAAATGTATTTATTTTTATTTTGTGTGTGTTATTATTACTATTATTGCATTTTAACATGTGTAATAAGATGCTTTAGGACGTCAATCATTAAAATAGTCCATAAGTTAATTGAATAGGCCGTAGTAGATAAGTGAATGTTAAGAAATTGAAAAAAATATCAGAAAGTTTATTTTTCTCGAAGGGATATCTAAAAAAAATATTATGGCAATTGTTCGGCAGATGTGTTTTAAAATATCTATGTTTTATCAGCTATCTAACGAGGTATAACAATCTAGGATTTGTATTACATTTCGTAGAAAAAAAGTAGTTGGGACGCTCCAGTAGCAGTTCCCACGCCTATTCTCCTTCAAGTTTAGACGCACCGTGCGAGCGAGACATGACGATTTAATGTGGGTGCGAATGAAAGAAAACATATTATAATAACCGGTTAGGGCTGGAAATCCAACACGGGATGTTGTTTTGGTTGTCAGTCTGCTTTTGTGCTTTGTACATAGTAGATGTGATATCGTTTTGCTCTTTTCCTCGACTTGGCTACGATTCTGGACTATTTCTTCTGATTTGTGAATACTGTGCTTGTTCACTGGACTCTGATTTGTACTTGTGATACGGAAGTGTTGAAGATGACGTCCTACACACCTGAGGAATATGCTGATATGCTTATTTGTTACGGATACTGCGATTGTGTATCTGCGCAAGCTCGCAACGAATACAGAACTCGCTTTCCCGGTCGTCGAGTGCCGGATGTGGCCGTTTTTAACAGAGTTTATCTAAGACTTCGAGAAACTGGCTCTGTTTTGAGACGAAATACAGACCTGGGAAGACCACGAATTTATGACAACGAAGAACTGCAGGACAATGAGATAGTGCAACGCTTTCGAGCGGATCCGACCATTTCCACTAATCGTGTTGCCCGTGATCTGGGACTTTCGCAATGGAGAGTGTGGTTTACAGTGCATACTGCTGGCCTATACCCGTACCATTACACGCCGGTACACACTATTGAAGAAGGAGACCCCGCGAGAAGGTTGGACTTCAGCAGATTTATGCTAAATGCTGACGTAGAAGACCCAGATTTTCTAAGAAATATCTTATGGACAGATGAATCCAAATTTGATAACGATGGCATAACTAACTATCACAACGCCCATTACTGGGCCCCAAAAGTACTAAGGAATCCCAATAAGAAAAGAGTGGCGAGGTCCCAACGAAGATTCAGCGTGAATGTGTGGATGGGCATTATCTCCAACCATTTGATTGGACCTTACTTTCTCCCGGACAATCTAAATGGGGAAAATTACGAAAACTTCTTGAGAGGAGACTTCAGAGATTTGCTGGATGATCTGCCACTCAACTTGAGAAGGGACATGTGGTTCCAACATGATGGCTGCCCTGCCCATTTCAGGAGAAGTGTCAGAGACTGGCTGGACACAAATTATCCAAACAAATGGATAGGACGAGGTGGGCCGTTGCCATGGCCAGCAAGAAGTCCGGACCTAACCCCCATGGATTTTCATGTGTGGGGGTGCATGAAAAGTCTTGTCTACAGCGAGCCAAATCCAGTTTCGTCTGTGGAAGAATTAAGAGAAAGGATTGTCGATGCAGCAAATCAACTAAGGACAACGTTGACCACTGCAGTTGTAAAGACTGGTCTCCGTAGAAGGATGCGACAATGTATTAGAAACAGAGGCAGCCATGTTGAACATGAACTGTAGAGTAAGAAAAAGTTGTGTGAAAACCTGATTTAATAAATGATATTTCATGCTTACCTATTGTTTTATTTTACTTTTTAGGGCTAAGTATCAATTTTCTTCTCCACTGTCGCCTATGAAACTAAGTTTTTTCAATGCATTTAAATAAAATCCTAGATTGTTATACCTCGTTAGATAGCTGATAAAACATAGATATTTTAAAACACATCTGCCGAACAATTGCCATAATATTTTTTTAGATATCCCTTAGAGAAAAATAAACTTTCTGATATTTTTTTCAATTTCTTAACATTCACTTATCTACTACAGCCTATTCAATTAACTTATGGTCTATTTTAATGATTGACGTCCTAAAGCATCTTATTACACATGTTAAAATGCAATAATAGTAATAATAACACACACAAAATAAAAATAAATACATTTAGTAGCCTAAAAATCGGCAATTTTCAATAAAAACATTAAAAGTTGAATATCTCGAAAAGGGTTAAGTTTAGGGTAGGGTGTTTCATAATGAAATAAGTCAGAAATGATGGGTACTACACGCCCTTAACGGATCTAGCACGACTTTTCCTGTAACCCTGTATATCTCACCAAAGTGACTCACCGGTCTCCTGGTATCTTTCACGTACTCAAACATATGTCCAATTGCTTGACAGGCAGTTCTGCAGACGTGGGATCGTGGACTCTTTATCAATTCTACAAGTTTTTGATTGATAGTAGTCATGTGCGGTAGAATGATATCGGGTTCTACCAATCGACAAATCTCTACTACTTCTGCCAAGCCACGTAACGCAAGATTCCTAGAAATTGGGTATTTTTTCAAAGTGTTCCGGAATCAGAGACTTCTCAATAATATACTCAGTAGCACTAGAAGTGTTACACCCAGAAAAAATCATCTCTTCAACGTGATTTCTTGGCAATGGGGTAGACTTACATCAAGAATGAAACGATAACATTCTTACGAATTTTTTTTACAAGTAATATTTTTCAAAGATATTGTAAGACCAATTTTATTGACGATGATCCCAACCAATCTCCCATTACCTCAGATTATAATGGATCATCCAATGAGTTTAGAACAATATACATTAATCGTCTCAAGAAGACTATATCAAAAACTAAATCAAATCAAAAGAAGAGTGAGATTTTGTCTAAAAGTGTGCTTAATGAATGTTTTGATATTATTGGAGCAAGAATATTAATCCGGATAAATTACTGCTTAAAATATGGCGAATTTCCAACAAAACTGAGGTGTTCTACCATAACTCCTGTTTTTAAAGTTAAGAATTCTGAGTTGTGCACCAATATGCGGCTAATAAATTATTGGCCGCATATTTTATTGAAGGAAATAACATTTTAATCAAATTTCAAGCTGGATTCAGGAAGAAACACTCAACTGAAACGGCAACACAAATGGTTTCAGAGGACTGGAGGAGATGTATGGATAATAGGAAACATACAGTAACAGTGTCTTTGGAATAAGTGCTTCGAAAATTGGTTCGAGCGCGTGCAGATGTGTATTAATCTTCGTGGAGAATATTTCGAAAAACAATAAAGTAATTTAAAACTACCTACCGTGTTGTTTTATTTCCATATGCAATACTTAAAAGACATCCCTCGTAGCTGTGGCAGAGTCTGTGACGGATGGTGCAAAGTGTATAGTCTCCTCCCCATCATATCTCACACATGTTTGAAGGGATTTAAGTCCGGTGAACGGGATGGTAACGGTAAAACATTAACGCCTGCTTCTTGAAGAAAGTCCGTAGCAATATGGGGACACGCGTTGTTTTGCTAAAAAAGGACGTGTGGACCGCTTTCTAGATACGGCAGTAAGGTGGTTTTTAATCATATTGCCGTGAACAAAGAGAAGGGGTGATCGGATACCATAGTCAATAACCTTCCAAACTATTACTCCAGCAGTCCTGTCTACATGCCTCTCAACACAAAATCCAATATCACGCCGTTCTCCACGGCGGCGTCTTACCCTTCTACGACCATCGTGCGTACAAGAATCACGATTCGTCACTGAAAATGACATTATGCCATTATGCCTCAGAATGTTACCGTTCTCTGCTCGAGTTCAAACGTTGACGACAGTGGTCCGCAGTCAGAGGATGCACTAACCATGGACGGTATGAAAAAAATCCAAAGACTTGAATGCGGCGATAGAGTGTTCGCATAGTAACAGGTCTACCTTCTTCTCCAAAGCATTGGTCAGCGAACTGACGCGTAGTAGCAGAACAGTCTCGTATAGGACTAGTTGCTTAAAGCGCCTATCTTGACGCGCTGTACGCCTCAGTGGATCTTCGTGTTCTCTACCTTCTTCTATCCACACACGACACACACTCATTACCGTCATGCAGTACAATTAACAGGGCGGCAATTTCGCGATAGGACTCACCAACATCTCGATAGGCAATAATTCTACCCCTGTCAAAGCCGCTAACATGGTGATAATTTGGACGTCTTCGAACTCGAACTATGCTTAACACTGGTAAATAAAAGGGCACTGACTAAAAATATCTGTACTGCTCAGCTCTCAGAAACTGCTTTCTCCACAAAAACTAAGAGATAACATTTTAACAAAGGTAAACCAAAACAAAGATAAAACGTTGACATTGTTGCCACAGCATGCTTTAAATATAGTCATTATGTTGCCAAAAAAGTTGAGGAAATTATTTTTTCTAAGTGTAACACTTTTAATGTCACTGAGTATAGAATATCTTTCAGTGATACCAAAATGCAATGTTTTAAGCCCTCACTTCCTCTAAATAAATTCTGAAAATGAGCAGGAATCATTGAAACGTCAAAAAGCGAGATTGGTCGATATTCATTTTTTTTTTCGTTTTTCGGTGCTAAGAGACATACGACGGCTGCATCACAGATTTATGTGGTTTTGGAACTACTACGGTTCCAAGCACTTTGTATCTTGTGAAATGATTATGTCTAGTTTTTGTATATCATTTAGTTTGTAAAAGGAAACTTGCAATGTGTAAAATGCTGCCCCTCCCTGTAAACTTTCTTTCTAACTCCGCAAATGGAAGCCGACAGAAATTAGTGGCATGATGCGCCTGGAAATATGTTCAAAGATTCCTAAATGATCCAAGCACTCACCAATCTTTATTTTTCAACCTGTTAATCGCTTGACTTAACACACATTCAGACGTTCTAGACGTTGTTGTTTCTAATGTCGAACCACCGGTCATCTCCTTCAAAATATAAATTAAAAATCTCAGTCCTCAATAATATAATTTTTGAAATGGGCATGTTTGCTTCCCGTGTCTCTAGCCACGACCAACAGCAGACAGTAGTGTTTTCATTAGCAATTCATCAGTGCGGTATGGGTCCTGTAGATATACAGGGTGTTTCAGTTTATTGTTGCATAACTTTAAGATTCGATAGAACTTTCAAAATTAATGCATAAAGTCTATATAAACATGGGTCGAAAAATGCGTGGCTTCCGAGATACAGGGTGTTTAAATTTACTTTCTAAAATAGTTTTTTTTAAATATTTCGAACAATATTTGATGTATAACAGTGAACATTGGTATACAAGGGTTTTTTGGTACGACAAATCGAACCATGGGCATAGTTTTACTGTAGCCGCTAGAGGGCGCTCTCTACTGTACCTGTAGTGTATTAAAATTACCGAAAATTTTTTCTTAGTGCAATTTTTTGCTTTTTGAATAAAAAAACTGATTCCTCGCACTTTTCAACATAAAAAAGCTCTCTTGTGAATTTTCGTTATAGTTAGCCGCTTTTGAGATATTTCGATTTTTAAGGTTCGATGCACTTTTAATTATTTATGATAAAATAACGTTAAAAAGTCAGTATCTCGATAATTTTTAGAAGTAGGTTGTGCCTGCAAATATTTTTGAAATTGAAAGCAGAACAAGGTTAAACGACAATTAGTTGACAGTCAGTTTTGTTGTCTATTGAAACCTGAAACGTTATTTTGCAATTGAGAATGCACGAAATTTAGTTTCTTTTACCTGTTTTTTTTTTGTAAGTTTTATAAAAATGCCATTTTTATTCTCCAATCAAGAGTTAGCGGATATTCATTTTGTGTATGGCTTTGTAAATGGAAACGTGGAAACGCAGCAGAAGCAGCCAGTGAATACACACGAAGATTTCCAAACAGACGACATCCAACTCGCTCAGTATTTGTAAGAGTACATCGCCAAATAATTGAAAATGGTTTTGGAAATCTCCAAAGGGATCAAAACATAAATGTTCGTCAGCGCAGATTTACCCGTATGATTCTGCGTGAGTTTGATAGAGATCCGACCACAAGTGTTAGGAGAGTTTCTGGTGCCTTGGGCATTTCAGCAAGCCATGTTCACCGTGTTCTTAGAAATGACCATAGACGTCCTTACCATTTGCAACCTGTGCAAGGACTACAGCCAGGGGACGGAGAACGAAGAATCACATTTTGTCAGTGGATTCTTGATAGAACTGATAATAATAGGGGGTTTTCAAGTAACGTTTTATGGACCGATGAGTCATGCTTCACTAGACGTGGAGTGGTAAATTTTCATAAACAACATATTTGGTCTCATGAAAATCCGCATGCAGTTCGGGAAAGAAATTTACAGCATGAATTTAGTGTGAACGTGTGGATTGGTATCTACCCTAATCGACTATTTGGACCCTACCTTTTGCCTGCAAGGTTAAATGCTGCGACCTTCTTGGAATTTTTAAAGGCTGAACATGCAAATATGTGGGATTATGTTATGTTAGATTTAAGAAGATTGGCCTGGTTCCAGCTTGATGGTTGTCCAGCTCATTATTCGAGAATAGTTAGAAACTGGCTGGACGAAAATTATCCAGAAAGATGGATCGGCCGTGGAGGACCAGTCGCCTGGCCTCCACGATCCCCTGACCTAAATCCATTAGATTTCTTTGTGTGGGGATTTCTAAAAGAAAAAGTGTACCAGACTCCCGTAACCACAAGAGATATGCTAATAGACAGAATAAGGAATGCATGTGATGAAATAAGGCCTTATTTGAATAATAACGTTCGATCTTTCGTAGATGTGAATTGTATATTGAACAATTGGGTTTACATTTCGAGCAACTACTTTAGATTTTGTATGTTTGTCCTAACTATCTAATAGCATTTTAGTTGCAAATAATTAATTTAATTTGTTAAAAATAATATTGGAAAATTAAACAAATTAATATTCTGTTTTTTTTTGTGTTTATTTGGAGTTAGGAATTATTGCTGTATTTAAAAACACAATCTAAACGATCATCTTAATTACTTGTAATGCCCAAATCGAAAATGTAAAAAAAATATTATTTTCCCATAAATAATTAAAAATGCATCGAACCCTAAAAATCGAAATATCTCAAAAACGGATAACTATAACGAAAACTCACAGGAGAGCTTTTTTATGTTGAAAAGTGCGAAGAATCAGTTTTTTTATCCAAAAAGCAAAAAATTGCACTAAGAAAAATTTTTCGGTCATTTTAATACACTACAGGTACAGTCGAGAGCGCCCTCTAGCGGCTATAGTAAAACTATGCCCATGTTTCGTTTTGTAGTACCAAAAAACCCTTGTATACCAATTTTCACTGTTATACATCAAATATTGTTCGATATATTTAAAAAAAACTATTTTTAAAAGTAAATTTAAACACCCTGCATTTCGAATGTCACGCATTTTTCGACCCATGTTTATATAGACTTTATGCATTAATTTTAAAAGTTCTATCGAATTTTAAAGTTATGCAACAATAAACTGAAACACCCTGTATAAACGGAAAGCAAACAAGTGGGTGTGATCGTTTGAAACAATCGCGCTGTGCGGAGCTAGGCGAAAAATATGACGATCTTCACCTACCAATGGCTTGTCAAGTTGGTCGTCATCCAAAACCCATACAATGAAAAATGAACATCGAGCAGTTACGAGTGAATTAACTACAAATTTCCATTTCAAAGCATTAGAGATTTAATTTTATCGGCTTCTATACCCTAGTCGTAGTCCATTTACGCACCTGCATAACAAAGATTCAGGGCGGCAAAGCGGCAGCCGCCTAAGCGTTGCAATAGCTATTGGCACAGCTATTGGTTATCCGGCTATAAAACTACGGACAAGTGCAGGATTCGACAGGATAGAACTCAGGCCCGGGGTATCGCCGGCACGCCGGCGCCGGTAGTTGCTGTTCATATTCGGTGCATACATAGCGTGTGACATTAACATGTCGTCTATGGATACAGCAGATAAAACAGAATTTTTCTCCCAATCCTTCCTCCAGCCATGCTTCCTCTTCAGTGATGTCTCCTTCCCGAAAACGTGACAAGAAGGGACATTTGAATATTCAGGCAAAAGAAATTGTTCTTAACGTTTATAAGAGCGAAATTTTAGAGTATGCTGAAATGAAAATTCATGATATTGAAAGACGTGTGGTGAACAAAACAGACTTATGTCAATAGATAATTTTCAACATTGTTAAACAATAAAAAAAACTAAAAAATGTCTCCACCACACAAGAGGCTGCATTACACGATGCTGTTGGATACAGTTGATAACTTTGATCTGAATAACATCAGACGCAAAGTGCATCAATTTTTTGAAAGGCAGGAACTCACCATACACAAAGTATTACAGGAGGTTAATAGTGATGAAGACTTACCGGACCATATTCTATAGTTTACTCAGAGAACTTCATTTTGAGTACAGACAACGGGGCAGAAATAGTATTTTGATGGACAGCCAAGAGATTATTTTATGGAGAAGAAATTATTTAAAATCAATAAAGAAATACCGCGACCAGAGCAGGAAGATTTATTACTGGGATGAAACCTGGATAAAAGCAGGACATACAAAACCTTCTTAGTTGGACTAACCACTGGCCTAAAGAATCCGTCAGGTACGTGTCAATAGAGTGACGGCAAACCATTGGATAGAGTGTATCCATCACGTTCAAGAAACAGTCGAAACAAAGATATGGGATCTAGATAATATGATCGATATTCAAGTTGAACCTGTAATAATTAATATTAACCATTCGGATGATGATTCAATTACTTCCAGCGAAGAAACAATTGTGAAAAGTATGTGTACTTCTTTCTATAAAAATGATCATTTACATTGTTAAATTATTCCAAGACCATTGAGGAAAATCCGGAGCTGTACAATCTCGCTTTTGGCCATGTGTTTTGTCTGGGCGTAAATGGACTACGAATGGGGTATAGTATATTTCTGCTGACAAGCCTGCTTGATCGGCTTTCGAAAAATGCCGCTAGCATGACACAAAGGGCAGATACAAACGTTTTTTAACTATTTCAACCAATCAGGGACAGATTTTGCTCGTTCCTTGTACGAGGGATGTCTTCTAAGTTTTGCATATAGAAACATAGTAGGCCGCGCGGATCGAACGTCAGTACTGAATCTTAACCTCACTCTTTAGTAAACTTAAATTCAAAGTTTCACAATAATACGTGCAACTCATCCGAGAACATTTTCGCGCCACAATTTATTACAACTTTCAGAGAAAATTATCGCAACAAGAATGCCTTGCTGAGTTACTGTCTGTTTTCGGCAACGAAGCGCCACAACAGTCGACAATTTCCCGTTGGTATGGAGAATTCAAACGTGGACAGGTGAGTCTTAGCGACGATCCCAGGGTGGGTGTACCAAAAACGGCAGTCACCCAGGAAATCGTCGATGCTGTGCGCAAACTCATCATTGAAGATAGACATGTGACATATCGCGAGATTGAGGGGTCCTTGAAGATCTCATAGACCTCAATTCAAAAAATGTTACATGAAGAATTAGGAGTAAGAAAATTAGTTTCTCGTTGGATACCCCATCTGTTGACTGAAGAGCAGAAAGCAGCCAGGGTTAATTGGTGTCAAAAAACGCTTGACCGTTTCAATTCCGGAAACTCAAAAAATGTATACAGCATTGTTAGTGGTGATGAATCGTGGATTTACTGTTACGAACCAGAAAATAAACGACAGTCGGCTGTTTGGGTGTTCCAAGTTGAAGAAAAGCCAACAAAAGTCATCCGTTCTCAAGTGTTTCGAAAAAGATGGTCGCGACATTTGTGTCAAAAGCGGGTCAAATTGCAACAATTCCTCTTAATGAGCAAAGAACTGTTACTGCGGATTAGTATACCACCATTTGTTTGCCATAAGTCATCACCGAGCTTCGAAAAATCAACCCCGAAAGAAGAATCATCCTCCATTAAGACAATGCAAGCTCGCACACAGCCCAAAAAACAAGGCAGTATTCAACGGAAGAAAACATGGAATTATTGGGCCATCCTCCATATAGTCCCGATCTAAGTCCTAACGATTTCTTTACTTTCCCGAAAATTAAAAACAGACCGCGTGGTCAAAGGTTCCAGTCACCAAAAGAAGCAGTTGACGCATTCAAAAATGCCGTTTTGGATCTGCCAGCAAACGAGTGGAATAAGTGCTTCGAAAATTATACCGTGTTGTTTTATTTCCATATGCAAAACTTAAGAGACATCCCTTGTACTACTTCAGAGTTAAAAGCGGTTAATGAAAATAGTTATCTCGTTCGATAATGCCTGCTGCGACTGCATTTTAAACTGCGCAAAGACGTTTTACCTCAAGGTCAGAATCGTTCAAAAGGTCTGATGCAGTTTTCTCCATCTTCAGCTCATTTTCTGCTTGACTTTTGTCTGCAATACTAAAAAACCGCTCTTGCGAAAAATCTACATACCTAGGGTTGCCAAGGTTTGTATTATTTATTAAAAACCTTCTGAACTGGTGAAATCAAGCAAAATTATACATAATTTGAGATTGTTAGAAAACGTGTATATCCCATAGCTACATCTACTATGTGAGCGACAGTTCACGCGGAGAATTTAAATTTGAAACATCCAACTTAAAAAAAAATGAAACACAATCTTAACTCTGGCGATCGGGTGAAAGATTGAGAGGCGCCGCTCTGACATTATTCGTGTGTAAAATAGTTCGTTCGTGAACTAGTTCCTAGAACTAGTTCGTTTTAGTGAGTGCGATCTGTTGAACTATTTCACCGAACTGAACTAGAAAGCTCTTCACTATCCCAAACTAGCATGAAGACTAAAGATAGCCTCGCCTTCGTAGTCGACACCTTTAGAGGTTTCCTGTCATCTTCCATCGAATGAGATGAGGATGAAGATCAACTCGACAAACCATTGTTACGTGGAGACCTCCTTACAATATAGTTTTTGTAAACATTACCTCGTTAGACGAAATAACTTGTAACTCCATAGAATTCTTCGGAACACCTCTATTTCCAGTGACTTTGATTAAAGTAGCGTCACTTTTATCTATATAAGGAACTTGCTTATCGCTTGAATTCGTTTTGGGAAATTCTGACCTTAATGATCTAGGGCTGGTTTTTGGGCTTATTTTGGGACTATTCTTTGGGGTAATCCTTGGGGTACACTTTTTGCTATCCGTTGGACTAACCCTTACATCAGCTCTAGAATTAACCTTTAGGCGTACTTGTGGGCTAACTCGTCCTACAATAATTAGAATTTCGGTGAAAAAACCTAAATAATAAACAACCTTTTACAGAGACCCCAAGCCGAGGTATATCATGTTTCGTCTGAAGGCTGGTTCAACAGATCGTGCGGCACTGGTCGTCGGCAGAAGATCAAAACACTCAGAACATTCTTACAAAACCCCACTGCCGGGCACAGGGTAATGCCGCAGCGCAATAGCCGTCAGTCTTTCTGGACGCTGGCCAAGCAGATTGAACGGGACTTCGCTAAAGAGTGCCAGGATGGAATGATTCTCTTTTCCACCAGCTCCATCATGGACTAATAAAAACGCCGGCGCAGCACAAAATTCAACTTTCAATTCAAAATTACGAATACTTCAGCGACAAAGCATTGAACATCGGACTGTCAAAACGAACGACGGGAAAATCCAGACTTAACGCCACTCTGTGGATGTACTACGAACTAACTATATAAGATTATTTGGTTGCCTAAGAAACATACCTTCAAAGTCACTCATTTAACTTTCTTTTATAAAGTAGGTGTTATTTGGAGCAGACGAAGGGCACTATAGATCAATAGGTCTGTGAAGTCTGGTAGACTTGATACCAGACAAGATCAGAGAAAAATAATGGAAGAAGAAAGAAATGAAAGAATGAGGAGAGCAAAGTGGATGAAGTGCGTACCTTTACGTATAGGTGATATCAGATTCTTAACAGACTGAAGTTCCAAACTCTGATCTTTTTTGACGCTAGACAAGGTGGGTGACATAAATGAATAGCTTCTGGTATCCTGAACAGGTGTAGTGTCTTCAAAATTATCTTCTGAATTTCTATGCGGTGACAGATTTATAGGCATCTGACAATAGTACCTACAAATATTCAACACGTAATAATACTTCGCTTTCATTGCATTTCTTATATCACTACGAGGATCGAAAAAAACTGAGACCGCTGTAAATGGAAGTTAATGTGTTACCACAGGGTGTGTTAAACCACCAACACAAGGTTTTCATTCCTATCTGTTCCATTGGCGAATGTCACACTATCAGTATTTACTGATCATTCCATCAGTGTAAGTGGAAAAATATTTTCATCGAGTGGCGCGTGTGTTTTTTACTCCTCAAAACATCACTGTGTAAAAAATATTTTGTGTCCCATCACAAACAGTTATCAACTTTTGGTGGATTAAGCAGCGGCAATATTATTTCAAAATTGTCTAGTTCGACTGGGCTATGGGATTATCTGCTCTGAATCGTGTACGGACAGCTCGACTCTGATTGGTCCATTCAAGCGGCTTAAATGCTTTCGTGTAAGAGAGAGAATGATCCCAGTTTTCAGGGTTGCCAGGCGTGCCGATTTTTCGCCAAAGTGGCGATTTGACGGCTTAAAATGGATATCTTGGTTATTGGTTACTATTTTGAACATTTCTCACGCCAATGAATTTGTAATCATTTTTTTGCTGATATGTGTATACAGGGAAAATCAAAATTTGTCTGACGGATTGAAATCAATGTGTACGAGAGAGGAGCGCGAGAAGTGTGTATTAACACATGTTAGAAAGAGATAGAAGCCGGCTGAAGAGCGAAGGTCATCACGGCATTGCCTAGCAAAGGTGACGCAGAAGCTCGTGCAAGCTTCCGCGTGACCAAAATGTTACACCAGAAAATGTTCGCACAGGCTTTTACCTACAATCGGTTAGGTTACTGTCCAATACAAGAAGGAGGTCTATTTGAAGCAGGGAAACCTTCCCCAATGAAAGCTAGATGAACACTGACCAAAATCGCTCGTCTATGATCATAGAGATGGAAACCTTGCCTTGGAATGTACAAGATCCGGTGTTATCAAATGAATCAATGAAGCAATGTTGCAGGACTTATAACGATCCTGACCTTTCATTCCAATGATTCTAAATGAGTTTCGACCGTTGAAATTGATTTCGATGGTGTCTTGTGACGATATACTTGATGAGCTATGATAATTTTGACACTGCCATGATAATTTGAATATAGAAGATCAATATAATCAGATGTCAAAATTATCATAGCGAATCAAGTATATCGTCACAAGGCGCCGTCGAAATCAATTTCAACGATCGAAACTCGTTTAGAATCAAGCCCCTTGCGTAACATAATGGCAACGAGGCAGATTGCCGCGTCAGCGTTGATGGGCAATGTGGTGATGAGCTTCGTTGTCCAGCCCGCTTCTATCTCTTTCTAACATATGTGCCTATATACACATCTCTCTCGAACACATTGAACTCAAGCCGTCAGATAAATTTGGTTTTCAGTGGAGATTAATCAAACATGAAACGAGGACCAGCGGAAGTTCTGTTTTCTTAGCATAATGACGCTTATGGTTAAATGTTATGTCAAGGTGTCGTGATCCGAGCATATCAACGACATCCCATACTAACACTTTTGATACAGTGTTGCTTGATGTACGATTATTACAATTTTTGTACGATAGCCGGGAGAAAAAAGAGAGAGCCCCCCCCCAAAGATCACTAGGGAAAGGAAAATACGTAGAAAATTATTGTCTCCCTGTTGTCCAATTTTCAATAGTCGGTAACCCTCCTCCCCGTTTTCCCGTTGTCACAATATCACAAGAATATTCGCCAGAAGTCCCGCCACCTCAAAATGTCCCTCTGGATCCGCTTCCTGTGAAGGAACATATAGTTTAGTTAATATTACACATGTCTAACACCCCCATCCTCACTCCCCGCTTTTCAATGGATTCTTAGCGTATTATTGTGCCTAACCCACCTCAACTTCGCTCTTCAGGTATCGTCAACAGGCAGGCTGCTTAGGCTCTTAGGCCAGTCACTACTCCACCTCCCCGGGCGACAAATCCATTCCAATCTCTAACCTGGAGTTTTATGGGTAGTCTCCTAGTTAATTTTCACTTTAAGGATTGGCGATTTCTGGCGATTTTCTCATCAAAACTTGGCGACCAACGTGACTGAAAACCTGGGAATCGTGCCAGTTCTCTGTTCTCTCACGAGCTGTGCACAAGAGCACAATGCTTACCCTGAATCCCTAAGGCCAAGGGCCAACACATAGCGGGAAGCCTAAACGAGGTAGTTATCTTTGCTTTCGGGGATCTACCTGAGAGGAAGTTTTTATATCGAGCCTGAGGCGATCCTCATTAGGAGCTCGTTTTTCAGCCAAGGGGGGCTATGCATTGAGTTCCTGATCTTTGCCCAACCTTATTAAAGGTCGGCCGGCGTGGGTCTCCATCTTGTCAACGCCTGGTGTATAGTTAGGCGTTGACTTGGCCTTTACTAAGGCCCGTATCGTCAGTCGTCCCTACAACTGTAGGGCGCCTTTATGGCCTCCTTGATTGTCATAGTTTTCTACTTCTCCGTGTCAGCGGTCTATTTTGAGGTTATGTCACAAACATCTATTTGCATCAAATTGTGCTTGCTTTTGAGTTATATCATGTTTTATCAGCCTGAAATTTCCTACAATTTAAAAAGAAAACATATCTTCACAATAGGAGAGCGCTGACGCTGACACGGGACAAGTGTAATCTAGAAATTTTTGAAGGAGAGAAAGGAGTATGACAATCAAGGAGGCCATAAACGCGCCCTACAATTGTAGGGACGACTGACGATACGGGCCTAAGTGTAGTAACAGGTGGCAGCTAGGGCACCTAGCCGACATTCAATTTTGCGGGTGCGGCACAAGGTGCCGTAGTTATAGAAGGGCAATGGTCGTCTTCAAAGTCATCCATGGCTTTTCAGATCGAACTAACAAGTTTCCGGAATTATTCTGAAAAGTTGGTACATCTTTACTGAGCGGTGAATTTTTTTCATAAGCTGTGATTCGGCGATCAAATTAGAGGCGTACCGGACACGACGAGGAACCGGTGCATATAGTCACATGACGGGCCCAGAACATGCGCCGAGGACTCCTCATCTACCCCGTAGCGCTCACACAGCCGCCCCCATCATATGCGTATCATTGTGTTATGGCCAGTCACCAGTCCCACCTACAACCTTAGGTTGGCTCTGCCCAAAGATACGCAAAAGCGTATGTCCTTAGCACTAGGCCCTAAGATGAGCTTCCGTGCCTGACGGAGATGTCTAGATATACTTCTCCATTTCAGAGAGTGTTGCCAAGATATCCACTTCTTCAATATCCTCCTGACTATTTGCGTGGGTACCATAAGTGCTGGCTCAGGTCCAACAAGTCTGCCCGCTGATCCTGCTCTCGCGAGAGCATCCGCCATATCATTACCCTTTAACCATATGTACTCGTATATATATAACGTATATATATGAGCAGTAGTCATTGCCAAAGCCAACGACTAGTTGGGTACAAAATACAATTACTTGTTAATTGGGAAATTGGCAAAACTTTTAGGCTTAAGTTGACTCTTTTGACGATAAAATCAAGCTTTCGGCATTCTCTATGGAGCCATCATCAGGATTCTGAAAACACAATTGTGATGCTAGCAAAGAAAACAGGACAGATTTAAAATGTCAGACGACTTACTCGTCGGTGAGGTTGCAGCCATAAGGAGTTTCAGAAAGAACGTAGAGAAGATCGAACTTGTGATCAGTATAAAAACAAAAGGACGTTTTGAGAGTATTTTTATATATATACAGGGTGACTTCGAAGTTAAGTCATTTATTTTAACAGTGAGTAGATCTGATCAAAAGAAATGCTTTTTTCCTTTAACATTTTTCTGGTAAAATTAAAGTAACAAAGTTATAGCCCTTTAGAAGTTTGAGTACCGCCCTGTCTCAATAATAATATTATGTGCTCGTGTTTGGAAACAACGGATATAATCCGCCTTATCCGTTCATCGCATCGGAAACAAAAAAGCGAAAGAATTTGAAACGATGTTTTTACTACAACGTACAATTTTATTCAATTGTTTTCCGTCATTGTGTTAGTCGGTAACGCGTGAATGAATAGTGGTGTTTGTTGCGTGGCTTAAACGAAATAAAAAATGCACGTTTACGAAAATGCTGAACTTGTGGACATGATTCTTATTTACGGGGGGGGGGGGGGAGTCTTTATGCGGATCGGTTTCCCAATCGAGTGCAACCTCGTGCCTTTGTTAATGTAGTACAATGGGCTCGTGAATCAGGTGACTTAAGACCTCACAGGGGAGAGCATGCCGGTGCTCCACGACCGCACGATCAAATACAGGTGCGCACTGAAATACTTGTCGGGAGGATACTTTATAAAACAAGGTAAAATTTTTTTTAATTTTTATTTTTACACACATATTTTGGTTTATCTTCCTTCTACAATCATCATCTGAAAATTAATGACTCAACTTCAAAGTCATATATATACGGGGGTGGCGCATCGAAACCGAAACAGACGCATTTACTGGCAGCTCAGTTTTTTTTTGGAAAAACGCTCAGACCCGTCGATTTTGTTTTCGAGGGGGTCACAAGTTTGACAAAAAATCATTTTAACACGTGCAGCCTCCTGGGCGGGGTGACACCAACCCTAAAATCTTAAATGGAAAGGGGGGTCGAGTGATACCTTATTTTAAAGGTCTTTCAATTCCCTTTATAATGATGTAAAACACATGAGCTTCAGTTTAGTAGTTTTGAAGATTTATTAATATAAAGCTTAAAGTAGGCTTTAATATGTACATCAGATTAGTTTGTACTACTTTCAGAAGAAATTTGACTAAAAGAATTTACTTAATAAGTAAATGCTTTTCTTCATTATGCGCATGGTTTGTTTATCAGTTTGTTGTTGAAAATAGCTATTGGAGCGTTTTTTTTGTGGCAAAACGTTATTTCTTGAAGAAAGATAAGGGAATATCTCGTACTTATTTTTAATTGGAATTTAGTACATAGTTTGCTACTGATTTGACCAAACTTTGTTGCTAAAATAACTTGTAACGCTTTATTACATAAATTAACCATGGTATATTCCACAGCAGAAAGAGTTGAAATTATCGAAATATTTTTCGGAAATAATCAGTGCGCTAATAGAACAGAAATATTTAATGAGCGACATGAGAACAGTAACGTGCATCGAAAATATGTTCTAGAACTTGTAGCTAAATTTCGGGAAACTGGGACAGTCGCCAATAAAAAACGTAACATTGAAAATCCCATAAGGAACGAAGCAATAGAAGTGGGGGTTTTAGGGCAAGCTTATGTAGCTCCTACGTTAAGTACCCGCAAATTGGAGACGTACTATCCAACGGATTCTAAAGGCCCATAGTTTTCATCCGTATAAAATTCACCTGGTACAAGAACTTAATGAAGACGATTTTCACGATCGTCATAACTGCCGATATTGGTCCGATTCTAATCCCAGAATTTATCATGAGGTTCATCCACAGCAGCCACAAAAATTAAATGTTTGGGCTGGTATTTTTGGTGATCATTTAGTTGGTCCTTTTTTCTTACCTGGAAATTTGACCGGTGAAATGTATTTGGAATTACTGGAAGACGCCATAGATCCTGCATTAACAGCCATAATTGAAAATCAGAATGATCGGCGGTACATTGCGAATAGGTTGATGTTCCAACAGAATGTTGCCCCACCACATTACGCATTACGTGTTCGACAATATTTAGATCAGACGTTTCCAGATCGATGGATTGGTAGAAGAGGTGCCATTGAATGGCCCCCAAGATCGCCAGATTTTTCACCTTTGGATTTCTTTATGTGGGGTCATTTAAAAAGCAAAATCTATGCTACTCAGCCAACATCATTAGAAGACCTGCGACAAAGAATTGTGAATGAGTGCCTTCAAACTACTCCTCAAATATTGCAAAATGTGCGGCAACGTTTTGAGCAAAATCTTTATTATTGCATGAAGAGTCATGGTGTCCATTTTCAACATTTACTTGCCTAACGGGTCACTTCATTCTTCATTTTTAAATTACTTTGCTGCCAAATGTATTGATCTCCACTAATGATGATGTATTAGTTTTATTTAAGCTTTAAATCAATAAATCTTCAAAACTACTGAACTGAAGTACATTAATTTTATATCATTATAAAGGGAATTGAAAGACCTTTAAAATAAGGTATCACTCGACCCCCCTTTCCATTTAAGATTTTGGGGGTGATGTCACCCCCGCTCAGGGGGCTACACGTGCTAACGTGATTTTTTGCCAAACTTGTGTCCCCCTCGAAAACAAAATCGACGGGTCCGAGCGTTTTTCCAAAAAAACTGAGCTGCCAGTAAATGCGTCTGTTTCGTTTTCGATGCGCCACCCTATATTCTAGATGCCTCACTGCTAAACTATTCAGAGCCTCTCCTTCTTTGTAGCCCAACGCTCGAAGTAATCTTTCAGGCACTTTAGTGTCCTCATTGGAGCCTGGCTGTTGAAGAAGATTGTTATTCTACTCCTAGGCCTTTGTCTTCCAGGATGCGAGATACATAAGCCAGAATCGCCTAGACTTCCGTTTACCTATCGAGAGCAAGTGAGAGCCCGCCAGAGCCCTTTTTTAGTAATCGAGCCGTCCGTGTTCCAGAGGTGCCCCTTTCTTCAGAGACCTTCCGTAGACCGTAATCACACTCCACCCGCGTCGGATAATCTATTTTCTATCTATTTTTACACTGAATTTGCGGTTAGGTCGGTACTCAGGGGTGATCAGATCACCTTGATATTTGATTCCTGATTCTTGAATGCCCGGCTGCCCCGACTTCACAGTCGACGTACGACCACTCTTCGCGGAATTCAACGGTGGGAGAGGCTTAATGCATTCCGCGCCAACTTCTGAATCTGTTTTTTTTTTCTAAAATATATTTACCTGACAGGATGCCTGTGGTCCTCTGGAGGTTCATTCATTATGACACTTTTAACTCTGAATCTATTGGCATGGCATCCTCTCTCAATATAACTAGGCGGTTCGACAAAAGATTGGCTTTTTAATGCCCTTTTGTGTCGTTGCTTGGGTCTCTAAGATATGGAAAAAAATAGATTTTTTCAAGAATATATAACCTGCTTCAGTAATCTAAGAGGCGGCAACGCTGACACCTATAAACGGCTATCGACAAGTTTCAAATAACACTGACGACGTAATGTGTTCGAGAGAGAAGGGCTAGAGGCGTGCAATACGTTGAGGGCAACGCGGTGCTTCTATCTCTTTCTAATGGTACGATTCCACCAAAATAGTGTTCAGCACATTTGTTTACAAACATTTTGTGTGAAACTCCAGCATTGAATGTGCTCACTGGTATCGAATTTATCTTCTGTGTCCACCGGCAAAGCAGTGCATAACTTTTGTAAGCGTACAGTGCAGCACACTTGTGTACGAACATGTTTACCAAGCAAAGTTCTCACTGACTTCAGTTCTTAATATGGATGGGCGGGAATACGTAGTGTTTTGTGTTGCAGCTTGTGTTTTAATAGGTAGTCTGCTTAAACAGAAACGAAGAAGAAAACCACGATGTTGGGTGAGGCCTTTTCTGCAGCGATGGAATGAAGAAACGAATAGATTTGTAGAAGAAATAAAAGTAGATCCCTTAAATGGATTTAAAAATTTTACTCGTATATCGTGTGAAGGTTTTGAGTTGCTGGTCAATGCACTTAGTACTCATATTACAAAGCAAGATACCAACTACAGAAAATGTGTCCCTGTTTCAATAAGGCTTATTTATAGCTTTTATTGCCCAACAGATAATATTCCATTTATAGGCCAAAATCTTAAATTAGAAATATTACAAAAGCCTAACTTATAAAACTATCTAAAGCGCTCCCGCAGAACACATTTTAGCTCCGAAATAGAATATAAAAATATGTCACAAAACTTACAAATAATATTATAATTCAAACACATAACCCTTTCAGGTGATTTCAAAATCAAATTTGTGTTAGCACGACTGCAAAAGAAAGTAACATTACATCTTGAAACAGATATTGGCGTTAAAAACTGTAGTTGTGATAACAATATAAAATAACAAATAATAAATCTGAAAACCCAGAACCTGAAGATTTTGAATTCGCTATTTTCTTCTTTTCTCTTCGGTACCGAGCCAAAATAATCTTCCATTTTCTCATTACCTCAGTCGAGTCACAATTGAAACTTTGAGCCAACTCTTGAATGGCGTCGTGTTTTTTGTTTCTGTTTGTATAATCAGTGTGACGGGAATCCCATAGAAGAGGATAATTTTCAATTGCTTGAATAAATTTTATAATCCTATCATTCGTCCAGTCCATTTTCAATTTCGTAAAAGAAGTGCGCGTACAAACAAATGTTTCACTCCAGGAGCGGGAGCAATACTGAGTTCGCGAACAAGTATGTACCCGCCGACGCGAGTCCACTGCTTGCATGTGCGCGCGCACAAAAGTAACTGATGTTCGCGAACGTTTCCGAAATGTTTGCGCACCATTTGCTATTGTTTGCGTGAGTGAGTCGACTAGAAGAAACATTTGTGCTGTACACTGTGCATTAGAGTGCCGCACAGTTCAGCACACTGGTGGAATCGCATCTTAAGATACGTATTGCACGCTTCTCTATTGAACATATTACGACGTGGTTCGCACAGTAGATATGTATGAGTTTCTCTGTATAATTAAAAGCATAAAAACGGTACAAATGTCGCTAGTTAGGTTGGCAGTTATGTCTAAGGTTATAAACAGACAAAGATATGAATTGCTGATCTGAGCCATTCCCGTCAATCAATGTCAAAACGTGGGAATATGCATAATTTTTTGTATCTTCTGTTAATTATTTACGTTAATAAGATACCATAAATACATATTTCATTCATAGAAATGTATGTATTTATTTTTAATCAAGTATTATTTAACACTGCAATGCTAATGACGCATTTTCGGCGCGATTCGCAGTGACGTCATAACACTCGATATGTTATTTGATTTTTGATTGTCTTTTTGGTTAATTTGCTGTCGAATTTCCAAAGCTTCTCTCAGTGGTGGAGGGGGCGTTTACAGGTTGTCAAGGATGAAAAAAAAAGTTAAGTAGAGATACTCGAGACCGTCAGATATTGATATTGTAGACATACAGATGCCCCACGTGTCACCTAGAGCTGTCGTTTAAAAAAATTTATATCAAGAGGAAATTCTAGTAATTATTTTCAGCTTCCCAAAGTGTCGCTAACTCTAACCTGAAAATTAGAAATGCTATTTTGACGAAAACTCAAATGTAACGGTACTATTATTTTTCATTTTTCAGAAAGTGCATCAAAAACCCCACAATTTGGAAAAAATCGCATGTCGTTATCTTCATTCGTTACAAATTTTTTTCGCAAGTTGTCAGCAAGACACCCATTTAAATCAAGTATTGGCTTCCACGCACATATCCTAAATACCATTTAGGGCTGGTTTTTCAATCTCAAGTTAACTTTCAGGTTGGGTAACTATTATTTGAAAGTTAACTATATGTCTGAAGATTCGTTTTTTAAGTTCTGGTTAACTAATTTGTAATCGTTGATGCGACAACGCCGTTTCTACGTCGGAACTATCGTGTCATCCATGGCAACCAGTATCACAGCAAAATATGTTAGACATTGCGGTGTAACTACAACTTTATATTTCACCAATATCTGGTCCTCTGTTTAAAATTAACTAACGTTAGGGAAAACTTGAAAACCGCTTTTCGAGATTGTTCCTTCAATTGTAGAACGCCTTTATGGCCTCCTAATTAATACATTTCCGGCGAACACGAAATTGGATCTTTCTAAATATTTATTAATTGTAATGCCACGTTCATCCAAATGAGACCCAAAATGGTCATGAGCCAGTATCAAACCAGCCAGTTCCGGACTACGAGGAGCCATTCTGCGATCTACTACGCATTTCTCCTAGGAGCATTTGTAGGTAAGGTTTTAAGCGTAGCCATATTTGGGGAATCCCTGAAGATGCTTTCGCTTTCGATCACAGTCAGGCACGGTTGCCATCTGTGTTCAAATCAAAATCGACTAAGTTTTGTAGAAAATGCCCCCGCTCCTCCATCCCCACGTCATCAAAAAAAAGTAAAGCGAAGACTTTCCGCCCCCTGTAGTGCTTCCAAATCACCTATTGGGCTCCCCTATTACTATTATCTCTATTATCGTGCAAAATAGATTATCTCTCTATAAAATATGATATCTTTCCGGACTACTTCTGATAGTTTGGCCACCAACCACACTAACGCAGCGTAGCGGTAGCAAAATTGGACATCGCTGCCCTCTGCGTTAATCAACGGTTGGAGCCAAAACCAATCCCTGTGGAACATTGGCGTCGGATTGTAGAACCTTGAGTAATTACCTACCAGAGTGCTGTCGAATGATTTCACTTGCGGCATATACTGCCCGCTCAAATTCTTCTTCTCCAAGTAAGTTTTGGTCAGGAGATTTCCACCTTTGAAATCATTGGGTTGAATTGTCCTCCGTAAGCAATTGGAAATTGTTTGTTTTCTGTTAAAGGCTATTTGATCCATTTCTGCTAAAGATAAGCCTGATGCTGATGTTGAAACTTTTTTCCGTTCGGGAATTGATCGCTTTCTGGGGGAGTATATCGATCTGAAATTTTCAACTTGATGTGGAATCAACCAGAATGCAACATAGTTTTACTACTTCGCAAATTGATGTCTAAGGAGCATATTGTTAGTCGTTCCTACAATAATTGTGGGACGCCTTTATGGCCTTCTTGATTGTCACAGTCTTTTCTCTCATTCAGAAAGGTTGGAGTATTTCTAGGTTTCACCTGTTCCCTGTCAGCGTCAGCGCTCTCCTATTGTGAAGTTATGTTTTCTATTCAACTGTAGGAAATTTCAGGCAGATAAAACAGATGATTAAATCAAAAGCATGAACAATTTGGTTCAAATATACTGAGTGACGATTTTAATAATTATTGGCACATGTTTTTAGTATCCCTTACTAGTAAAATGATTAAATTTTCAGCTTGATTCGTCAACTGACTGCACGTCTGGACATCGTGCTTATAAGGTGGTCGATATCCTGTTGAGGTATCTCATTCCAGGCTTCTGCAACTTCGTGAGTAAAAGCTGCTAAAGTCTGTGGAGAGTGTTGCAAATTCACGAGCCTGCACCTATCATGTCCCAGACATGTTCAATTGGAGATAGGTCAGGAGATCGTGGTGGCCAAGGTAAACGGTTGATGCGATGTTGATGCATGAAGGCTAACGATGCTCTGGCAACATGCGGTCTGGCATTGTCTGGCGGGTTTTGGATGGTGTTTAGGTATGGAATAAGATGAGGCTCCACTACTTCCTGATTACCTATAGCGACGGGCTGACATATTGCCTGTGATGAAAATTAGTGCTGATCTGTTACCATAACCAATAGCACCCCATACCATAACTCCCACGGTGTGGTGGACGTGACGCTCTCTTTCAAATTGTGGGTCACGTCTCTCACCACGTCGCCTCACTCTTGCCCGACCATCGTGCATCCCCAGGCAGAAGCGGGATTCGTCACTAAAGACCACCTGATTCCATTTTCGGTCCCATGGAATTCTTTCTCTACACCAGAGCAAACGGTTGCACCGATGTTCAGCTGTGAGTGGTAGCACCCAATGTGGGCGTTAAGAAAAAATGCCAAACTGTCGTATTCAGCGATATTCCGTACGCATACCAACCATCCTTCCATGCTCTTCAAACTACTGATTAGCGATGGCTCGAGTACTACTGTCCTCGGCCTTCCTGAGTCCGCGCTCGTTCACACTGTAATATACTGCGTAACGATCATTTGGTCCTCCTAGAAACTTCTCTTATTGATAGACCGGCTTCACGCAACCTGACAATTTGACCGCTCTCAAAGTCACTTAGCTGGGACACCCGGCGAATTCTACGCACTCTATGCATTTTGAGCAATCACAAAAAGGTATCTCAATAAGCTACCCGAAATTTAACATTTAACTGACACCGTAAATGTACGAAAATTGAATGCTTCTTTATCACCAAACTATATGTAAGCAATTCTTGCATTCTAATAAACATACGTAGGTGTTTACCTTTTATTGTCACTTGTATATTCAGATAAGAGATAGACCGGATGTAAACAAAAGGTTCGGGTGATTTTCACGCTAACGCCGCCGTCTCGACGTAAAACAGGAGCCCTCATTGGTCAATTCGCAATTAAATGCCTATGCCGAGCGGCAGAGCTGTCGTATCAAGGCAGAGTCACATTCAGGTTCAGACGTGTTACGTATGGTCGTGTGCATCATTGCAATTTGATATTTCTTTGGACGTTTTCGTTTGTTATCTTATTAAGTTGTTGAGTTTGTCGTTGTTATTGTTATACCTTGTTATTGATTGTTATTGTTATCAACTGCTTGCGCAAAATGCCCAGTAGTACAGATACTGCCGATGAAGTTGTAAACTCCTGTAGTCCACCTAGGAAACGCTCTAAAAAAAGACACCTGAGTGCAGAAATGAAAGAGGTCATTTTGAATATATATAAGATCGAGCGCGAGGAGAACGAGGCATCAACCATCAAAGAAATTGTTGTGAAGGTTTCTCACAAAGTTGGAGTGTGTCGCGCATCAGTGTTTAATGTCTTAAGACAATACAAAAAAAATCACACCTTTTCTGAGCCAATGACCAGTAAACATCGCAAAAGTATTGTTAAATCATTGGATGAAGCTGATAAGCATGCGATTAGGAGGAAAGTGCATGAATTCTTCTTTAGGAATGAAATACCTACTATAGATAGAGTACTGCAGGAGGTAAATGGAGATACAACGTTGCCAAATTTCAAACGATCAACTTTCCATGCGTTACTGAAGCATTTAGATTTCAAATGGAAAAAACGGGGTCGTAATAGTTTACTACTGGATAGAGAAGAAATTGTGCTATGGAGGAGGGATTATTTAACAAAAATTGGGAAATATAGAAATCAAAACAGGAAGATTTATTACCTTGATGAAACGTGGGTAAACGCAGGACACACTACAAGTAAAGTATGGGTTGATGATTCTGTAACTTCATCCAGGAGGGCCTTTCTAGATGGACTGTCCACCGGATTAAAAAATCCAGCAGGTAAATGTTTTTCAAACCTTGGGAACAAGGTTCTAAACATTAATTCCAGGGGGCAGATAAAACATATTACAAGTAACAAAACTGTTATAACTTTCGATAAAATGCGTGGATGTTTTATTGTCATTTTCATTTGTTAGAACTTTTTTAAGCCATGTTTTTATGTGTTTTCGATATTTGAATAATATTTTAATATAATCTTAAAATATGGCGAATATTATAAACTTAAAAAAAGTTACTAAGTTTTATATTGTGTACCGTTCCTAATATTTCTAATCATTTTAATTCATACTTTAAGCTTTATAAAGTTATAATTTGTTAATATTAATATTTGCGCGTATTTCAGGTTCCTGATCATTCATTTTTTAAAGGTTTATAACATTAAATTAAATTGTGAAGCGCTGAGTAATCATACGACGTTCAATATTCTTTCTTTCAATATGACTAAATAATCCCAATTATAGCAATCTGATACTCATGTCTCAATGTTTTTTCGCTGAATGTAATGAAAACATTTGAAAAAGGTTCGCTTATTGAAATAAATCTACACCAGTTAGTACTTCGATTTCCAGGTAAAGGGAAAAGGCTCATTATCTGCCATATTGGCAGTGAGGATGAATTTGTTGTTGACGGTCTGTGGTGCTTTGAGTCTAAGAAAACTAGAGATTACCACGAGGAAATGAATGACGAATCGTTTGAACAGTGGTTTTCAAAAATTTTACCGAACTTAGAGGAAAACGCAGTAATTGTGTTGGATAATGCGCCTTATCATTCTCGAAGAATGGAGAAGGTCCCAACAACGGCTTCAAGGAAAGTTGATGTTCAAAATTGGCTCCGCTCGAAAAATATCAACTTTGAAGAAGCAATGCTGAAAGTACAATTATTAAGAATTGTCAAGGATCACAAGGCGGAATATCAAAAATACGCCATTGACGAAATGGCAGCAAGTCAAAATAAAACTGTGCTCCGTTTACCTCCATACCATTGCGAGCTCAATCCCATTGAGCTCATATGGGCAGAGGTTAAAAATTATATAGCTAAGCACAATACAACTTTCAAATTTTGTGACCTCAAAGGACTTTTCAAAGAAGCACTAGAATTAATAACAGCGCAAAAATGGGAAAACTGTATTAGGCACGTGAAAGACAAAGTTGAAAAGAGAATGTGGGAACTGGACAATATTTTAGAGGAACAAGTCGAGCCATTCATTATTGACGTTGGTGCTTCAGGCCGTAGCGATGATGAAAGCTCATCAAGCTCATCTTTCCAATAAAAGATGTCGTTCATCAAATTCGGTAAGTTATAAGTAATTATAAAGCTACTGTATTTTTTAATTAATTATTGACATTTTTGAACCCATTTTGGCAAAACCTATTCAAGAATCTACTTTCTGACAATGTTCAACCATACACATTTTTTTACGTTTTGAACGTTTTAATTTGGTTACATATTTACCTAGAAATCAAAAAATATACTAATCAATATTCTAAAAGCAATTTTAAGAGATATACGATTATTTTTAATTTAGGCTAATTTAAACGCCATTTTGAGATTATATTCGACTGTATTTCACCAAACATCAGGCGGCATCCGAGGCTGGAAATCTAAGCGAAAATTTTGAAACCCTTATGTATATTTACATCATTATATATTTCTTACCCCACCCCCACATGATCCTATATCCATCACCAATCGTATACACATCGAATTGTGCTAATTTACTACAAAGTTACGCAAAGCAGCATCTACTATCTAAAATATGTACTGCGTGACTCTTAATACGTCCCTGCCGAATGTTACAGCGTTCGATGATCACGTGGTCTTGTTTATGTCCGGTCTATCTCTTATCTGAATATACTGTAAACACCCAATCACAGAACCACACGTACAGGTAAGTGCGCGCAGGCCGGGCTTGCGCAGGCAAAATTTAAATAAACCAAAAATCGCGCAAGTCACGCTGCTAGGCTTGCGCAAGTCAACGGAACGCCAACCACGCGCAGTGTTCCATGTACCGGCTTGCGCAGGTAAAACTGTGGTGAAGCTTGCGCGTGTCGTAGGCCCATTAATGACTGGGGTCTGAAAGTATCTCATGGCAGGATGTGAATAGGGATTGTTACTTTAAAGTTGTCATGTTGCTCGGTTATGTCTTCTTTTATACCGAAGCAGCCGCGCAGGCACAAGTCTAAATGCCGGGACACCGCGACTGCTATAACGGTCCTAAAGAAATTTTGTCAATACGATTTTTGAACTGCCTCAGGTTAGTAGACCTGGAAGAGTTTCCTCTTGTGAATTGTTCCACAATTTCGACACCCTCGGGACAAAGGAGCGGCCTTATCCCCCAGTTCTGGTTGTACGAGATTCGTCACGGTTAGGATGGGAGGCCAAAGTCAGGCGGGTCTGTCTGGCAGGCACATCGCGCGGCGGTATCATGGAAGAGAGCTCTGAAAAGCAAAGCCCGTTGGTGTAACGGTAGAAAAGAGCTAGATCGCCGACGGCCCATCGGTGCGAAAGGGTCCCGAGACTGTCTGTTAGACAAGAGTCATCGATGAGTTGGACCGCCCTGGACAGCATCGAGCATGAAAAATGTAGTCGGGGCGGCAGCACCCCAAACGTGTGAGCAATACTCGAGGCTGGGCCTTATATGGGCGTTGAATAGAGTGAGAAGGTCATGCGGAGAAAAGTACTTCTTAGCCCTAAACAAATAGCCTAGCTTTTTCCCAACAGCTGATGCTATTGACCAGATGTGTTCGTGTCAGATCAGGCCCTCGATGATCTGGACTCCGACCAGCCGAAATGTATGGCTCTTTGGCAGAACTCGGCCAGCCATCGAAACCGGATGAAGCAGTGATAACCTCCAGGTCTCTCGTCAGAGAGGATGTCGTCGCTAGTCTTCTTTTCTAACTGACCAGCAATTTACGGCAGTATACATATTTAAAGGCTTCTAACAAGATGATAGAAATATTTTGTATATGTCGCGCACTAGCCGCTGATTTCTCTTGGATGCATATCCACGCGGCGAATTGTCATCAGCGAAGCTGTGGATTGGGTTGATCGTGCAGGAAAGGAGGTCGTTGATATGTAAGAGGAACAGTGTCGGAGCCAAGACCGATCTCTGGGAAACACCCGCGTTGAAGTGGTGGGATGAAGAGGAAAAACCGTCAATTACGACAGATATCTTGCGGCCAGAAAGAAAGTCAGTCACCCATCGGCAAAGTTTTTCTGGTTGGAAATTTGCTTAAGAGAGCAGCGTGTCACAGCTGATCGAATGCTCAATGTCAAGATCAACGATTTGACCACCATAAGACTGGATGAGTCTACTCCTCCTCCTGTCGGGAACCATACTGCCTGTCGCTAATCAAGTCGTGACGCTCGCGATTTATGCACCTCTCCATCACCTTACTTAAAACAGAAAGCAGAGCTATAGGCCTGTAATTGTAAGGGTCGGTCTTAGATCCCTTTTTTGGGATGGGTTGGACATGAGCAAATTTCCAGTTTTCTGGGAAGGTGCCGGATTCATAAGATATCTGGAAGAGACGCAAAAGAACTGGAGGAAGCTCCGGTGCACACCTCTTCAGTACAATGGCAGGAATCAAGTCCGGACCAGAAGCTTTGTTGATGTCGAGCGACAAGAGCACTCGTCTTATGGTCTTATGCCTGAATGTTACCTCCCGCATAGTGTAGCCCTTTGAATTGACGGCACTTGGGCGTTGGGGGGTACGTCCATGGTGGAGTTGGCAGCAAAGATCTTGGTTAGCACTTCCGCCTTGGCCTTTGAGTTGAATACAATAGTTCCATCCTGACACGTAAGTGGTGAAAGGCTACTGTGTGAGAAGTTCTTTTCAATCTGCTTGGCCAGCGTCCAGAAAGACCGACTGCCATTGCGCTGCGACATTACCCTGTGCCTGTTGCGAACCGCTTCGTTATATTTGTTTCTGAACTCGACGTCGGCTTGTCTGTTCTCTACAGTGTGGTGTTGTAAGAAGGTTCTGTGTGCCTTAATCTTCTGCTGGCGAGCAGTGTCACACGATTTGTTAAACCAGCCGTTGGGCCCTGGTTTAGGCACTTTCACTGGGTGAGGGATGTATTCCTCCATTCCGACGTGTATAATTTCGGTTATCGTTGAACAGACAGCCGCACCATACGCGTCAGTGAAACAGATATATCTCCAAGGGAAGGTAGGGAAGAAGTCTCTGACCGTCTACCAGTCAGCCTGTCCGTAATGCGAAATTTTGCGGCCTGTATGAGTTTCCGTCGTCTGAGTTACCCAGGGGAACAGGACAGCATTGCTGAATGGGACAGGATACGTGGTCAGAAAGAGATCCAGCAGGCTACTCGCATGTGACGAGTCGCGGGGGAAAAAAGGAGGGCTTGTCACCAGCTGGGTTCGCCCTTGAGTAAGAGTTCACGCTTCAACTGCACGACCTGCTGAATCAGTCTTGTTTGAGCCAAACCAAAGCTCATTATGGTCACTGAAATCACCGAGAAGAACTACCTCTGAAGCGGGGTGATTGATGTTCAGGACGTCGATCTTGACGGCGAGGTATTCAAGTAGGCCATCCCAGTTGTGATCCGAAGGAGAGCGATAAAGGCAGCAAATAAATTTGGGGGTTGTGTTGGAGTTGTAATTTGGGAAGCTAAGATAGCTAATCGGTGTCTCCGCCAAGACAAGCATGGCGGGACGATTGGATTGCAAGTAGTGATGAACAGCATCAATGTTCCTGTTAATCCCGCAGATGTTCGTGAAACAAATTTTATCTTCGATGTTGTTCCCTCGAGCCCACCCTCCACCCGGACATTCGGAGAGTGGAGTGAGTGTACGTTCGGATTCTTAGTGCTTGAGGGATCCATCATCATTAGTTTCTTTGTTTTGAAAGATAACCGACTGCATAGCTTAGGTGTGGAAACATGCGGACATTTATAAGACACCCCCTGAAAAGCTAGCGGGAGGTACCGCCTCGGTCCACTGGTCCTTGTCTACCACCTTCTTTTTGCGTGTTAATGATATTAAATAGACCTAAAGTGGCCCGTTGGCGGGCTTGTACCCTCGCCCGGCAATCGGTACTGAGGTATTCCTTAACGCGTGCACAATCACTTGAACGGGAAGAAGTTGTATACTGGATACAACTTCCGCAACAAGCATTTGCCACGGCCCCGCTCAGTAGGGGAAATCTGAATAAGAGGTTAGGTCTGAGCTTTTCGGTTTCGACACGGCAACTTGATATCATGGCTTCTGGACTGCTTTTCGTACCAATAAATTCCGGCCTAAGCACCAGATTATTAAGGTATCCATATCGGGTGTGACTTCCATGCGGTAGGAAGTTACCTATTATGGCAATTATTATATTGTTTTATGATCAGTATCAAGACAGCTAATTAACATAATGAATAGACAGTAGAGTTCTTCATGTCATGAGTCGTTAGAATATGGAAGGTGTTCAAAAGGTTTTTCCCAAAAATAGGCTTGTGTCCGATAACCCAGTTCTAACTATCCTATTTCTCGTCGAAGAAGGACAACTCCCTGTCGTTTCGTCACCAAGTAAGTGACTCATGTTTTACCTTAAAGACGTATTGGGCAAATTATATGAGATCATTTAAAAGTTATGAAATTTTAACTCAACATGCTAAATTTTAACTCAACATGCTACTTTCGTCCAGCCGACCACAGACCATGAACAGCTGTTTCGTGCTTTTTGGCACCTCGTCGGCATGCGCGCATGCTTAGGTATAAAAAAATATAGTAGTATTATTATATTAGGTTGCCTTTTCTTCAAGTCGAATACGTTAATCAATGATAAAATGAGTAGCATTTGTAGTAGTCACATCAAAATTAAGTTAGCTAAGGAATTTCTTGGAATTAGAAAACATTTTCTTAAAAAATTGAATAGATTGATGAAGATTACAGAATACCTGGGACTCAAACTGTCAGGCGACAATCTGTCAATTCGATCACATCTTTTACCAGCTTGCCTAACTGTGATGTCCGTCCCACTTGTTTGAGTATGTCTTTCCTTAAATATAAAGTACTTTCTGGGGCTGCCCAAATTGATGCTTGTGCTTGATTTAAAGTTCGTTTGAACGTTAGCATCCTTACTTATGATAGTTCTGCATTTTCCTGCAAAGGAAAAATTATAACAAAGTATTCCAATATGTGAGTCCCCTATTTCCAAAAGTAGCTAAATCCAAAATTGATAGTATTAAGAAAAAGTCGAAAAACTGTTACTATATGTGAGCTTTTGAATCAGTAATATCGTAATATTGAGGTATGTAGCACAGAGTAATACATATTTTTTGGCTCATAAATATGTCAGTATAGTAGGGGGGGTAGGTATGGATACCCTAATTTGAATGTCAATTGGTATTGAAACAAAATTCGTGTGAATTATTTTCTGATGTATTAATATTAGAGCACTAATATAACAAAAAGGAATAAAAAGATGAGATGAATGAAGACATGTTTTGTTAAAGACGAATATAAAAAATATCAGCTTCAAAACTACACTCAGTATTAGCAAAGCACACATTAATCTCATCGGCATTTTCTTCTGCTTGCGTTAAGCTTTGTTGCTTATCCATTACAATCTTACAGTATACCTTACGGATAATGTGCATACACACGCAATAGCCTGATTTAAGCGAAGGCGAATATTCAATTTCAATAATTTACGTAACGGTTACGGAATGGAAACTGAATGTATAGTGAGAATCAGCCTTTATATGGATTTTGCAGTAATATGGAAATGAATGACTATTATAGTATATTACCACAACTTTTGACTATGAGATGCCATCACCCACTACATTTTTCGTAAATATGGATTTAGCAGTTTTTGGAAAGAGTTAGCTCATGTATGTATAAAAGTGACTCATGAGTAATACCATGTCCAGTAGCGTAGCAAGGGGGGGGGGGCAGGGGCGGTCCGCACCGGGTGTCACCTTTTTTGGGGTCACACTCACCCGGCGACTCAACTTTAAGAACAATGTACAAACATAAAAAAATTGCACATATTGCATTGCAAACTAAAGGCTTAACTGTTGACGAAACTGGACCAAAAATAGAGGCACTTCGTCTTTATACCGAAGAAAAACGGGGTCACATTGTGATAGAGGCAATAGATATTGCTATAAAAAAATCAGAAGACTACGATATTCCAACAGAAAGACGACTTCGTTGTAAAAAACGGGTGGTTGGTGAGATGGTCAGTGATGCAGGACTGACACTGAAAGACGGAAAGATATGTTGGAATGTCTCAACCGATTCAGAGTTGAACTCCAGTCAAGGTGGAAGTCTCTTCAAGGCCTAGCTTCATTGTTCGAGATCGTACAAAGAAATACTTTGCTTTTGGCGAATACTGAAGAACTGAAATTAGCTACATGAAAATTTACTGATTTTTATGATGAGATACCAAGACTGCGAAAACACTTAAAAGCCGCTAATGTTACAGTTTCTGATTGAGTATTTCCATATTTTTTTAAGTTTGTGGAAAAGATGAGTCGCCATTTTGTAGCATCCGCCATATAGAATTTGAAATGGCGACAGTTCGGTCATTTAACATTGCCACGCGAATCAAAATAGTGCGCAAAATTTCAGCTCAATTGATTAAGGTTAAATGATTCAAAATTCAATTCAAAGATTACGAGTACTCGTACATACTAGCAAACAGGTAAAGTCAAATAAAACCTTGTAAAAATAAGTAGCCGAAATGATACCGACTTAAAATGTGTGTACTGAGTCCATGGATACTCTGCTGAGCCTCCTACAGAACTTTTTTCCGCTTACGCCCATTAATTCTTAGACTTCTTTCTATACCAATCTCTAGAAAAATGAGGTACACCATTCAGTGCGAGAAGAGCCATAACATTTTCTTCTTTGTCCTAGGGATCTGGGTAGCCCGGTGGGTCACAGTGTCAAACTACTGATGTATAGTCAACGCCAAACAAAGTGGCGTGCACGTCATCAAGGTGGGTGTGTTGAAAAATTTACATTGTTGCCAAACTTTTTGTAAAATAATAAAATTTATTATTTACATATCTAGGTTTATAAGCAATATTAACCTCAAATGAGAACAAAAATAATAGTATAATAAAATTATAGATCTGTACTTGCATAATCATTAAGTATGACAATTATTGATCAGATGACACTATGAAACTACCATATTTAATTGATAGCTTAAAGGTACTGAATAAAAATCCAAATGGGGTCCTCCAAATTTTATGCATGGTATTTATTTTACAGAATTCATACAGAAAAATGCATTCTAAAATTAGGTAAGCTACTGGTGTAAGCTTTTTCTGTACAATAAAGTTAGTCGGAGTTTCTTTCTTCAGCGCTGTCTGAATCTGAATCTTCATCACTCTCAAAGTTGATTATTAAAGGTTCGATGTCTGGTCGATCAAAAATTCGTTCTCTTTCATACCATTTAAAAATTTCTTGCTCAGTATGTCGAACACTATTTTTCCACATGTCTGGGGTAACCGTTTGTAGAGCCTCGTTCCACATATCCAAACAGTCTTTTTCACTGTTAACATCTCTACCAATATGTCTGTTATAGTAACCTTTTGCTATGCCCCAAATTAACTCAATAGGGTTAAATATACAATGGTAAGGAGGCAGACGAAGAACTTTGTGCCCATGTTGTTCCGCCAATTCATCAATCACGTATATTTTAGGTGGTTTGTTTCTAAAAAAGCAGTTATTTTAAGAATAGGAATAAACAAAAGAAATATAAACTGTCGACCAACATATATATAATTAAGAAGCATTATGTACCGAGCAACAATACTCAATAGCTCTGTTTTAAACATTGTGTTTAAAAATGGTATGTTTTGATTTGTCAACCAGTCTTGGATATTTTTTTTTTTGTCCATGCATTGTTGGGCACTTTGTTCAATATCATGCTGTGATAAGGGGCGTTATCCAGTATAATCATAGATGGACTCTCCAATTTTTCTAATAACTGATGTTGAAACCATTTCAAAAAATTGTCCTGGTTCATCTCTCCATGGTAATCGCTCAATTTTGTTTTCGAAGAAAATATCGCTTCACTACCCTCAATAAACCCATTTTCATTTCCAGCATGTAATATAATGTATCTAAAATATATTAGTTTTAAATTTTATAGTGCAAATTGTGTAAAAGTACATACCTTTTACCATCTGTTTTAATAGCTTTCACGCTTTTTTGGTTTCCATTTTGCCAAGAGCGACCTATGGTCCCATTTTGAAATATCCAAGTTTCATCGAGGAAGACAAACTGGTATAAGGCCTCAACCTTGGCTTGATTGTATTGCCTTAGAAATTCCACCCTTTTCAAAGCTATACTTGGCAGTTCCATGAGCCCTCGTCGCGGATTGTCCTTAAGTCACTTAAATCCAAGATCTCTAAGCAACCGCCTTAAAGACGTGGCACTACCATCAAATAATGCCCTATCTCTTAATCGGGACCATAAAGTTTGTATCGTAACTTGTTCTTCTGAAACCATGTGTAATATGACATTATAATTTAGTTAACAAATTAATGCAAATTTCTGATAAGTTATTATAATAAGATCTTACTTTTGTGATACATATTATAGATCACTTCTCGAATGGCACTTGTATCCAATGTCGCTGTGTTGGTTACACGTTTAATATAACTCCGCTTTTTCTTGGGCGATTCTAAATTTGCATCACTTTTCACACCCTCGGAAATACGACTAACTGTCCTTAAACTAATTTTTAAAGCAGCAGCAACACGCTACAAAAAATGAAATAAAATTTCACTATTATTAATATACATTACATATAATTATTAGTAACCTACCTCTTGAACAGCATTTAAAGGCAACAAAGGCCCGTTGTTGTCCCTTTCTTGCTCAAAGTAGTGCATTAACGAGGCCACGAGTTCCTTACACCGACTATTTAACTGTTTGGGCATCTTTATATACCAAAATTGCCTTTATCTACTCGTAAAATGAATAATTTTGTTTTGAAACAAACAGTTGTTGATTTACAGTATGCGGGGCCAAAGGATTTATAAAGATTTGAAATGCCACAAATTGATTCAGTGTCAAAATTAATACAAATGTCAGTTCCCAGTTTAAATAAGTTTCAAGGTGACAATGTGTCAACGCTGCGAAATCGGTTTAGTGCGTTTACATGTCGATAAGTGATTGGAGCGTTTGCAAAACATTTTATTTCGCATAATGCGTCTAAATTTATCAGAAAGCAACTTATGTGATATTTTAATAACAATGTTTATATGACTATTAACCATAATAAGAGAGTAATGACCATTTTACAATTTATATATCACATTAATATGAAACTGCAATAGAGCAATTGTTTGTGATAGAAACCTAGGCATTAGGTCGGGGAATTTTTATCGTGATGACGTGCACGCCACTTTGTTTGGCGTTGACTATACTGATACATCGGCTAGGCGTCACTGTCAAAAACGGCCGCCACTTTGAGAAAGTCGACTGTAAATTCCCCCAGTACAACGATGAAAGTGCTCAGCAGCAGCCGGTGTTGCCACCTACCCTACCAGCGACCACAGGTATTATGTGCAATCGCAAAAATTGTACTATTCGAAAATGATCTGGTGCAATTTATACGAACCAATATTTAATAGGAATATGTTTGTCCAAAACGAAGCGACGAATGACTATTTATTTATGAAAAAGTTTTAAAATTAATTTGTATTGATGGATGTAAAAGTAAGTAAAATACCGCAATCAGACATGACACTTCTGACGTCTCCGCAGCTGGGATGCTTCTACGTAACGTGTGTCCTAAAAGTTTTGCCACAAAATTCATTGGCTTTAATTTCAACAAACACAAAATAATATCAAGTTGCCTTTGGAAACAAAAGTTTGTTTACTTTCTTTACTGTCAGTTGACATTTATTTATTTTGAGTTTTCGCTTTAAGATCTCGTATAAATTAGAAACGAGAAAAAGTATCTACAAGTTGGTTGGGTGGGTACCCAAAGCTGAAATCTGTCGAATATTCCAGAATGATAACATTTAACGCAGAACCATTCATCGAACAATAGCGGAGTGCGAGCCGGGAATACCGTGTCTGAGTCTCCCAAAAAGTGGAAGACCACGTGCATTCCAGATTGTTCAGTTTATCCACGAACGTCATGCTAATGACCCTATCATGTTTTAGCCAGACATAGTATTAGGCCATTACTCAAGAAATACCCAAAACTGGCTTCGACAACAAAACATACCTTTTGTTCCAAAAAACGATAATCATCCAAACTTGCCTCGTACTCGCCCAATAGAGAATGTTTGGGCTTTACTGCCTAGGAAGGTTTATAATGGAGGCTGGGATGCCCAAGATGAAGAACACAAAGACGGCAAACTTACGAAAAACTGAGATAAATTGATCTGAAGTCCGTCCAAGACCTCATGAGAGACATTCGAAGAAACTTGCGACTGGCATAGCAGAAGACATAGAGGTAATTTCATAATATAATTTAGTTAAGTATTGAATTGTAATTTATGACAACTAGTTAGTGTTCAAATAAATCTCTTCATTAAAAAAAACCGATAAATATTTTGTGCCAAAGCTTTTAGGACATACGTTGCATGGGGAGTTTTTAATGTGTAAGCGGTCGGTAGTTCGGATATTTCAAATACCTAGAAAAGTTAGTTATAAAAATTGTAGGCAACTAAGAATACTCGGCAACTATGTCGCTCCCCACAAGGTGATTTATAATTACATGTCAACACATAAAGTTTTCAGATGAATTTGTTTAGAATGAGCGAATAAAAAATATTCGTGCAAAATGGTTTAGTTTAACTGATGAACAATGTTTCTTGAATCTCTTATTTAAATGTTCATGGGCTCACGCTTTTTTCGCGACAAAAACACCGAAACTCTTGTGATTGTGTGAAGGTTGTATTTGTTTGGTGTTTGTAGCACTGCTTACATTGAAAATGCAATGGAATGATTATATCGCAGCAGTACAGGTAAATATTTTTCCATTTATTGTAAATACTTCCACCATTACAAATTTATTTTGAAGCTTTTTCATAAATAAATAGTCATCTGTCGCTTCTTTTTGGATAAACATACTCACTTTTATTATTGATTCACACAAACTACACTAGGTCATATAGGTGGCATGTACGTGGCAACACCGGCTGCTGCTGAGCACTAAAACCTCTTTCATCGTAGTACTGGGGGAATTTACATTCGCTTCCCGCCGAAATGGCGGCAGTTTTCGACACTCACAGGAGAGTTTTATAGCTGATTGTTATCTAAGCTGTGGTATGGCTCCAATTGAGCTGGTTGATTGTGTGAAAAGCGGAAAGACCAATGAATGATGCATGAAAATGTCAGTTTTTGAAAATAATATACTTTACCTTCAGGCTTAGGGGTTTGCGTGGACGTATCAAAACTAGTGAATTTCTGAGCATGTCTGTTAGGTTCAGAATTGGCCAGGGCAAGGGAGGACCCTGAAGTAAACGCCGATCTTAGTTTATGATTCGTTTGGTACACGAAGTCTGAAAAAATGTTCTTTTTCTCAGATCTTACACTACTTTGCATATTCTTGCAAGTCGTTTCTTCTTGGGAAATCCATATCTTCAAAGCATCAGGTATAGTGACTCATCGATAGATATGTTTCTGCATACAGTGATTCAAGATGACTATAGACAATTTTTCCGTGTGGTAAAACTGACAATGCTTGGCTAGAAATTTAAGTCAGATTCTGCAGCTGACATATGTCAGTTGAGGATTTGATGAGTCTGCTAGTTCTCATTTCGAGTACTTAGCAGTAGCAGAAGGGTTATTTATTTAGCACGTTTGGTTGCATAAACAGAATCATTATAAACTGCTGAGAATTAGTAAATTCAAGTCATATGATGCACATGCTGGGCAAGCCATAATTGTAGATTTAACAAGTGATTCCTTGAATTTCGTCAAAGTGTTCTGGTCTTTTATCTCTGATGTATATAGGTATTTAGACTATTACATTCAATCAACCCTTGATGGAATACAGATTTGTAGCATATATTACACTTTTTAGCAACTAAACGGAAATCATCTTTATTTCTGGTATTATGTAAATGATGGACGGCATTTGACGATATTAATAATAAGCAGGATTATTTCTAGAATATAGAAAACATAAAGAAACTTTGACGCAAACAACCATATTTTTATAATTTGGTTTAGAAAAAATACGTAATGAAGCTTGTACTGAGTTACAACCTGGCAACTTCAAATAGAGTTTAAAAAAATTCACCTAGGAACCCGAGGTTTCGCCTAGTCAATTAAGGACTTTTTGGTGACACAATTTGGCAACTCCGCGCGAAAGGAAGCGCGCGCCGGCCGTCGCTGGACGCCCAATCGGTGTTGCAGAACCTACCGAGTTTTCGGTATTTCTATCGAAATGAGACGTGGAGACTACCGAAACACCGACATGTCCTCATTTTTCAGGATTGTTTAAAATAATTCAGATATTTACAGATTTTTTGCCGAAGCTGGAATCAAAAATAAATATAGTAAAATATATACGAGCCCCTTCCCACTTCAGTTGGCCCACTTCAAGATTTGTACCAAAATATGCCTTTATAAACTAAACATGACGAAACTATTTACTTCTAAAACAATTGATTTTCTCAAAAACATTTTATACACTCTAGTCGTAAAAAATACATATTTGAAATCACTTAGACCTATAACTAGTAGAATATCTGAACAAATAAACAATGTGCAAATAAATGCTCCAAGTTAACAAAGCAACAATTGAAAGATTACCATTGGGTAACATCACCTTTATTTTTTATTACGGTTGAAATTCTTTGGGGAATAGTGTTAACCAAGTTTTGCCAAAAATTTGGTGTAAAACAATCCCATATTTCTTGAAGCTTTTGTTTCAGTTCGGTGCTTGTACGAGCAGGATGTTGTCGTAGAACCTTTTTCATCTCGTGCCACAAAGCTTCAATAGGTGACAGATCTGGACTGCTAGAAACCCATTTCAAAAGTGGTACATTATTTTCTTCCATCCATTTTATAGCCTTTTTTGAGATATGGCACGCTGCACCATCTTGCTGAAACACAAAATCTTGGCCGGATGTCAAACATTCTTCCATCACTGGTAAAAGCGATTCTTCTAAAATTGCCAAATATTTGTTTGTATCCACATTTCCATCAATAAAATGAAGTTTTCCTACTCCTTTTGATGACATACTGCCCCAGACCATAATGGATGCTGGAAATTTCACTTTTCTCTTCAGACAGTCAAGTGCTAAATCCCAGTTTGTGGCTTCTCTATGAGTTATGGACCTCGAAATTCTCCTTCCAACAGCGCCACTCTACAGAGCACTTAATTGTAAATAATTGGCACGCTTGTTTTTCACGATTATTCTTCTTAATGCTCTTCGGTCGGCATTTGTGATATTATAACCAGCTACGTTATATCTTCTAACAATATTTCTCACACTATATCTCGATAAGTCTAACAAAGTTGCAATTTCTGAGTTTGATTTCCCAGAATTAAAAAAATTAATTATCAGTAACTGAATTTTCTCACTAATAACCTTTCCTCTACCCATTTTGAAAACGTTAACTACCCAAAACTATTTTAAGCGTATTCTGACAGCTGTGATTAATAAAAACAATTGTCATGGCTTTTATTTTTCACAGCCACCTATGCGTTATAGACTTATTTTGCATTGAAATGAAAATAGGTTGATATGCTGTAATTGCAACATGTGTTATTTTTATGCTGCAAATTTGATTAGGGCGTGATAAAGTTGGTGTTTTCTACTATATATTATCAAAATATTCATTGTTAATATTTTAAACCTATAACACCCTGCTACATTTTTATTATTTGTGTTTGATAAGAAAAAAACTAAGATATCAATAGTTGGGCCAACTGAAGTGGGAAGGGGCTCGTAGTAGTTTTATTCCCCATAGGTACCAGTCATACATAAGCGTACACTTTTGGACCCATGAGATACCTAGATTTGAGCTGCCTACAAGTATTTAGGCACATTCCTGATTCCTCTTTCCCTACATTGGTTTTTGTGTACAACAGGTAGCAATAGCAATATGGAAACCAAAGATCGTCTGTAATGAATTGAATATTAAATTGAAATGTCAGAGATGAAGCCTCAAGTTCAAGGGTGAGGCAGAAAAATATTCGGATATCTTATAAACAAGAATGGCAAATGGAGTTTCAATGTTGTTGGAAAAAGTTTCTTGAAATTTTTTCAGAAACAGATGCCCTCAAAAAAACCTGTTTTGTGTATGCGCGATCATAGAGTGCGCTGCTCGTCGAAATGTCGTTTGATCTATCGCCGCTGATGTGAAGGGCCTTATTTTTGACTACCGATTTTTTCCTTGAATCTACCGAATTTCAGAAACATTTCGGCAACACTGCGCATAACTGCCACCGCGCGGCTCGCGTTCCACGTTCCACCACTCGATCTGACTCGATCTAAGTAGGCCCTGGCCGCGATCGCGAGATCCGCGCTATCCAAATCGAAACAACTGACGTTCGGCGGTGTCCCGCCAATCACACCATACCTCGACCCAGGTCCGCGGTTCTTTGTTTCGTACTAAAATGAGTGAACTGCGGTACTTTTCGGCCGGTTTTGAGTGAATGTTATGGAAACGTGAGTGAAAATCATGGGGTTTTCGTCCAATCTACAGGGCAAAATAGCTCACGAAGCTCTTTTGTCCAGACAAGACGCCGAATTGAGATTGCTTGAGTCCACGAAAAGATGCATTACGCTCAAAGTGAAAAGTGACCGAGAGTATGCTACGGCTCTAAGTTCTGTCGCCGCTCAGGGACTCAAGTTTGATAGGAGCGATGAATTGTCAGGTGCGACACAAAAATAAAGCTTCCTCCTATGCTTATTTTCTTTTCTTCTTCCTTCAACTATATTTCCACTAATAATCTTGTTCCCAGTTTTAACCCAGACTTCACAGATCAGACGGGCTTAATCATTCTAGACCTTCACTTTTAGACTGGTTTTGTTTCAATCAGACATAGCTAATACCGATCCCGACAGACAAAACTTTCGGTTAAAAAAACGCACTCAAATCGGTTCATCCTTGTTAAACTCTTACCACCCCCGGTGCCCTCGGTTTGATTAAAAAGTGATAAACTTACCACAAGAACTGTAAAAGTGTTTTGTCAACAAAATATTCTTTACAGTTGTGCTTTATTATATTAAATCTCGGACTTGCAGAATATGAGTGCAGCAATAGTTCTGCAGTTTTTTTGCGGAATTTAAAAAAAAGTGTTGGTAGGGCTAACTTCACGCCGCCCCCTTTTTACGTATAACGTGAGTTATGGGCTGTGCATTCTCAAGGTATTGAATAATTCTACAGTTCTCAATAGTTTTTAGCAAAATTTCCCTATAAGGATAGATTTTTCTAATGTCACCCCCGAGTTCTGCATTTGAAATTGCACAGAATATTATGCTAAAGATATTTGAAGGGGGGGAGGTGTTGGGTTAGAACTCTGCGTTTTTTTTCACTTTTATGTGAACCTTTGGAGTTTTCAAGGTATTTATCATTTTTCGCAATCTAGGGTAGTTTTTTCCAATGGCACCCCCGAGTTCTGCTTTCGAAATTATACAGAATATTATGCTGAAGAGATTTGGGGGGGAGGGGAGGGGGGGTGCTGCGTTAACCTCTGTGTTTTTTTCACTTTTATGTGAATTTTTGTAGTTTCCAAGGTAGTTCACGTCGTTTTTCCCAACCAAGTGTAGTTTTTTCAGACGGCACCCCCGAGTTCTGCTTCTGAAATTATGCAGAATATTTTATGCTAAAGATATTTGAGAGGGGTGCTGCATTAGAACGCTGCGTTTTTTTTACTTTCATGTGAATTTTTGTAGTTTCCAAGGGATTTTTCGTCGTTTTTCCCAACCAAGTGAACTTAGTTTTTTTTAATGGTACCCCCGAGTTCTGCTCTTGAAATTGTACTGGATGCTATGCTAGAGGTATGTAAAGGGGGTGCTGTGCTAATGCTCTGCGATTTATCACTTTTGTGAGAATTTTTGGTATTTCTGTGGTATCTCTAAAAATTTTCTCCAACCAAGGGTAGTTTTTTCTCATAGTATTCCCAATTTCAGTGTTTAAAAATTATTGAACATGATTGTTTGCATGAATGTGCGAGGCTTACTGTGCTGGAGTGTCATATGTACCTACTTGTCGCATTTTCTGACGACAGATGTGACATGCTAGTGAATAGTCACGTGGATCGTTGATGCTGGTCTCTTCTTTTGGAAATTTTGCAGAACTTTTGCTAAAAACTGTTTAGAACTGTTGAACTGTTCAGTACCTTGAGAATCCACAGCTCAGAACTCACGTTTTACGTAAACTCCCAAAACTTTTTTTTAAATTCCGCAAAAAAACTGCAGAACTATTGTTGCATCCTCCTGAGAACTGTGGAACTATTTGAAAGTAGCTCAGAGCTCTGAAAATAATCAAGGGTGCTGCAAAAAGGGGTGTCAACTTCCGGCAGATAAAAAGAATCAGTTTCAAGTCAAGCTCACCTACTCATCTTAAACATCCAAAAAACATATGTTTATCATTAAAATCTGAGCGGTAAGTTTCAAGCTCTTAATAGAATATTAAAAAAAGCTGTAGCCAAAAGATTTAGTGATTATTGTCTAGGATTGAAAGCAGTATGTTTTCAGTGTCAACTAAGAAAAATAGCTTATTTTGTTTTCATATTCATGATGTCACAAGGTATTTGTGACTATCCTGGTATATTTTGGGAAGAACGCTCGGAAACATCATTTTTGATTTCTAGGGAGACGTCTTTTCATCTATAGCCGTACAATACAGGTTGCTCCAAAAATAAGATATTGCGTTACACGTAAGATTTTTAAGTGGAGACCCCATTTTCAGATTTTTAGATTTTCCAGGAAGTTTTTAGTAACTTTTGTATAGTAAAGATTCTACCTATCTTCAATCATTGTGAAGCTGTTTGAGTTATAATGAAGTTCTATAGTAACGAGACTACTTTAAAATTAAAAACAAGTATCTGTGTATTAAGAAACAAAATAGATAGGTCAATGTGGGTATAAATGCTGAAAGTGGTGCCTATTTACCTCCATGCAATAATAAAGATTTTGTTCGAATCTATTCCTCACATTTTCAAGCATGTCATTCGTAATCCGCTGAAGAATATCTTGGATGGAATCTGGCTTTGTGCTAAAAACTTTACTTTTCAAATGCCCCCAAAGGAACTAATCTCAAGGACTTAGTACCAGAGATCTCGGCGGCCACTCGATGGGGCCTCGTCTGCCTATCCACTGATTCGGAAAATGGGTGTCCAAAAACTGTCACACCATCTTGTTGGAAATGATTGTAATTTTCATTATAACGTCAATTTCTATTATTTCGGTAATTCGTGGTTCTAGTGTATTTTCAAACATGTCCAAGTACGTCTTGCCCGTCAAAATTCCAGGAATAAAGAAAGGTGCTACAATATGATTTCCGAAAATGCCGGCCCACACATTTATTTTTTCAAGATATTGCGAGTGTACCTCTCGAAAAAAAATGTGGATTCGAGTCACTCCAATATCGGCAGTTATGTCTATTTCCAGCACCATGTAAATATACTAAGTGACATATAAATCCGAACACCCAGTTTAAATGGTTTTATTTTAATAAAATTTTGTATAAGTACTTAATGAAGCATAATAAGTAAATGATAAAAATTTCAAAATGATTGCACTGCTCTAAAGCCCTTTGACCTTTAATAATGTGTGGATGCACCCTGATGTGCTACGCATTCCCCAACGCGCCTAGGCATGCTTCTGATTCATTGTCCTCCTGTGGCATCTCATTCCAGGCAAAACCAGCAACTCCTCTCGAAGTGCTTCTAGAGTCTGAGGAGGACGTTGCAAATTGAGCAATCTCCTACCCATCATATCACACACGTGCTCAATTGGGGATAAGTCGGGAGATCTTGGTGGTCATGGTAACAATGTGACATCATTATGTTGAAAGAAGACTATTGTGACTCTTGCAACATGTGGTCGGGCATTATCTTGTTGGAAAGTTGGATCTGCCAGGGTGTCAAGATAGGGTAAAAGATGGGGTTCTAGAACTTCGTGGATATAACGCTGCGCGTTCATGTTACCTCTGATGAAGATTAAAGGTGACCTGGAGCCATAAGCTATAGCACCCCAAACCATAACTCCAACAGTGTGATGAACATGTCTTTCAACAAAAATCTGTGGATTCCTCCTTCCACAACGTCGCCTTCTAACCGTGGCACGACCATCGTGCATGCCTAAACAAAATCGAGACTCGTCACTAAAGACAATACTGTTCCATTCCTGATCCCAGAGTGACCGTTGTCTGCACCACTCAAGGCGATTACGTCGGTGTTCTCGAGTTAAAGGGAGGACCCAGTGTGGCCGGTATGAAAACAAGCCAAAACTTCTCATTCGTCGGTAAACACTTCGCATGCCAATAGGTCTTCCGTGTTCTGCAAACCATCCATTTGCAATGGACCCTTAAGGCCAATAATCTTAGGCGGCGATCTTCACGGTCTGTTGTTCTACGGCGGCGTCCAGTGCCCCTTGCTCTTTGCGTACGGCCTTCTCGAAGCAATGCCTGACAACACCTAACCACAGTGTCTACACTTCTTTGCACTCTAACTGCAATTGCCCGAAAAGAAAGTCCAGCTTCCCGAAGTCCCACTATACGGCCCCTATCAAAGTCACTAAGTTGACGAAATCGTACAGGTCTCCGTACTCTAGGCATCGTAACCGATCGTAAAGGATGTCAAGAACCAAAATCCGCCAACGTTGATTCTTTACTGCGGCTGAAATATTCATTTTTAGAGCGTTAGTGAATTAAAAAAAAAGCAGTATAAAAACCGGAATGTCCAACTGATAAGGCTGACAATTTTTTCACTTGTTATTTATAGTAAGATATATACATTCACCAACTTTTATTAAAATAAAACCATTTAAACTGGGTGTTCGGATTTATATGTCACTTAGTATAGAACGCGTACACTCATCCGAGAAACAAATATTAAATTGCATGTTTGCATTGTCGATTAAACGTTGGGACATTAAGTCGCAAAACTCCAACCTTCTATCAAGATCGTCTTCATTAAGCTCATGGATAAGTTTTGTCTTGTAAGAGTGAAATTGATTGTCTTTCAAAAATCTTTGTACTGTTGAGCGTGTGAATCCTGAAGAAGTAGTCAGTCCACGAGTGCTTTGGGTGTTGTCAAGATCTATGTGCCACAAAACTGCTACTTCCGCGGCTTCATTTCTAACTGCTCGAAGTTCTCGATCGCGATTACGGCGAATATTTGACACAGATCCAGTTCCTTCAAAGGTTCTTATCAACTGAGCCACATTCTTATTGTTAATACATATTTTTATCTGGATGTAACGCATTAAACAACCTTGCAATGCTTCCATTTTGGTAATACAATTTTGTTAGTTCTACCCTTTCTTGAATTGAATAAGTCATTGTTCAATATTTATTACAACTAGCTACGTAATTTAACAATTTGAAATGAAAGTTTTTCTATGACATACGATGGCACTGAGTGATGCTAAACGTTCTTGCTGGTATCCATGATTATTAAATATACCAGGAGAGTCACAAATGGGGTGCGGCCTTTTCGTTGGCCACCCTGTATATGATATGTGATAATGCATATTTTTACAGGTCAGATGATATTTTGATTTTGACAGCTTGATAGGTGGGTACCAGGGGAAAACATGTAGCCAGAAAGCGGGCTTCCATTTTTTAACCCTCTAGATCAGAGTTCCCCAAACTTTTTTGTGTCGTAGACCCCTTGCCATGTTTTTCCGTGTTGGGTAGACCCCCTACTTACCTGATATTGATTTCCTGTAAATTTCTAACTGTAGTGAAGTTTAGTGTTAAAAACTTAAAGTAAAAGCACATGTTAATTTATACATTTATTAATTGAATTTAAATTAAAGCTACTCAAAATAAAATGTTGTATCTGTTATGTAAAATATACGTAACATTAAATAAACAGGTGTCTGACCAATAAGTGCCCGCATTGGGAATAAGTGCCCGCATTGAAAAAAAAATAAGAGGGATAAAATAAAAAAAAGTGAAAAATAATAAAAAAAAAAACGTTTTTTACTTAAAATAGTACAATAAGCGAGTTCGTTTATTAATTATAACATAAACGTATGTTCTACAATAATTTCACTGTTAGTTTGATTAAATTCCGCTTCTTATACGTTTAAGTTATCTAAAAATAGGCAAAAAATTAACGAATTTTAGTGTATACCTATCCTTGAATTTTCAGAATAATTAAAAAAAATATTTCCTATAAAGGGGGGTTCTTTAAAACAATCAATGCGGGCACTTATTCCCAATGCAGGCATTTATTGGTCAGACACCAATAAACATAAAATAAACTATAAATAAAATTACATAAGCAATAAGTCAATATTTTTAGTGAGAAGGATGAACCTGATGCTTTTATAATAAATTATCAACATTTGGCGTCAATTTTGTAAGGGTTAATCTTAAATCTCCTCGGCTAATGATGTAAAGTCTGTTTCTTTTTTCGTTAGGAGATTGGTGACAGCGCTGAACCCCCTTTCCACTAGGTATGACGATGGAAAGGAAATTAAAAATTTCCTCGCTATATTCCATAATACGGGATAAGTAACGGGTATGTTGTTTTGCAGCCAGAATTGCCGATATCCGTTTTTAAACTGAACCTTAAGTTCTTCGTTTGTACTTA